ACACAGAGAAGGGAGAGGCTGCAAGTGGAAGCGTGGAAGTGAAGGGCCATCTGGGCGACCAGAGCACCGTCTCCCCGAGCCCTTCCCTCAGTGACCATGTGCCCACTTAGCACCCCGAACACACACTCTCAGACTCTGCAAGTGTGAGCCCACAGACTCTGCTCTCACGCAAGCACCTGCCCTTGGTGGCCCTCAATCACCACAGTCGTAGGATCCTAACTGACCTTTCAGACTAGCTTCTTACCACTGAGATGCAGTCAGCTTACTGTGTGGGTCTTCGTTATCTAGTGCTGCTAAAACAGATATAGTACAAGTATGTCTCCAACAAGCAGAAATTGTCAGTCAGCATTTAGAAGACTGCAGGTCCAGATTCAGGGCTTCAGCTCGAGTGCAAAGCAGTCTTTGTTGGCTCATAGTTTAGGAGGAAGACCCCTATCTCCTTTCAACATTTGACTCCCGCTGTCCTTAGGATATGCCCCTGTGACCTGGCATCAATCATCCCTGGGTCTAGAAGGTTCTCAGCACAGGGACCTTGGATCCAAGGAGGATAGTCTTCTCCTGCTCTGAGCATGCTATTTTTCTTGGTGATGCGAGGTCTCCTTTCCTCACTCCTTTCTTGCAGGATGACAGGTGGTATATGGCCACACCCAGGGAAGCTTAGATTAGGGGTTACCTTAGCTCAGGGTTGTGACCCTTATTACTGATCAAATGATGACATCATTGATGGTGATGACAACACTACATCATTGTGAAATCACTGAGTCATGATACTGCAAAGGTGACATATATTTGTGGGGACACATTCAGTCCATGACGGTGTCTATCAGTAGCTTGTTGGATTTTTACTGCTGAGTAGTATTCTGTTGCCTGTGTCTTTACTCAGTCACTTCTAACAGCTATCTTCACAAGTCAGGGAAGGCTGAAGAGATGAAAGCGGCACAAATTGATTCCAGGAGTCTTTGGGGAATTATCAGGGATTGCTGAGGTGGCTGATTCAATCTGAAGGGGGACAGGAGTCCATTCACAGCCCCACGCAGTAGACACAGAGCTCAGGGCAATTCCCAAGGACCTAGAAGAAATGGGCTCTAGCATGGGTCTCAGTCCTCTTCTGTGGTATGGTAAAGGGGATCCCTCAGCCCTCAGCACCCTTTCCTGGGCAGCAGCCAGCTCTGAGCCCTTAGCCCTGTGTCCTTTCCTGCATGGCCCTTCTATCATCTGCCAAAGGGACATGGATCTAGGGAAGCTCACCAGACCACAGACCAAAGTCCTTCCTAAACACATAAAGACGTCACATCCAACAGGAAGTGACAGTGGCCACCTGTAGCAGCTGGAACAGCCTTGACCTTTAATGGCTCTTAGCCATCAGTAATCATTAATGGCCACAAGGCAGCCTACACACAGCCAGGGTCAGACTCACTTTGCAGCTGGTCACTGAGCTCTCTGGACCAGCTTCCAAAGCCAGACAAAACTGTGAATCACCACCTGGGCTGTGGGTTCCTGTCCTCAGCTGGCCCCAGGACCCACCCCTTCGATGTCATTTTCTCCAGAGAGAGAGAGGCTCCGGCCAGGGTGGATTGTGCCGGTCAGCACCAGACCAGACGGAATGTTCCTGAAGCCACAGGCCTCCAACAGACAACACTGAGCCCGGGGTCATGGAAAAGAGGGAGACACAGCCCGGCAGGTGACACGTCCCAGTGCTGGCTTCTCTCAGGCTGGGCACGCTGGCTCACCACGTGAAGCCCAGGCCAGCCCCCCATGAGTGCACAGAGCCCCCAGGAGAGCATAGGGTCCCTCATGAGTACACAGGGTCCCCTATGATCGCATGGGGTCCCTCAAAAGAAATGGGGTCCCTCAGGGCTATACCAGGCCCCCCATGAATACAAGGAGTCCCTCACAAGGGAACGGGTCCCTTCCACGAGGCTGAGCAACGGGACCTCCACCTGGAGCCTGAGCCTATGAGTAATAAGAGCATGAATAAGTGTGTAACTTAGTCTCCAGTACACACTGCCATGGGGGGTGCAGTCAACAAATATGCTCAGCTGCTCACTGAAAGGTTGTAGGTTCTAGTCCACCAGCTGCATGCTGGGAGACCACTGTCCCAGAGGCATGCTGGGAGAACATTGCACCCAGAGGCCTGCGGGGAGACTGCCGCCCTAGAGGCATGCTGGGAGACCGCCGCCCCCAGGGGCATGCTGGGAGACTGCTGCCCCCAGAGGCCTGTGGGGAGACCGCTGCACCAAGAGGCATGCTGGGAGACTGCTGTGAACTAAAGGCCGGAAGCCCCTCTACATCTATCGACATTTATCAAAGTTCAGAGTTTCCAGAGGCTGTCGTTTAGGAAGTGGATGCCACGCCTGCTTCCTGTGTCCTACTATGTAGTTAATATCTTGAAAACTGAACTTCAGAATTCTGGGACTGCTCAAATTAATGAAGCTTTTTTAAAATAACAAAAACTATGAAGTAAAGGAATTTCCTAGAGTGTCCAATCTCTGAATTAGGCAGTGGTGGTGGTGTTGTGTATCATCCTGTTAGAACTGACTCACAGCTGACCCTCTAGGGTTTTCAGAGACAGGAAATCACATAGGAGGAGAATAACAACTGGCAGATTTGAACCAATGTCCTTTGGGCTGGCAGCTCTACTGCTTATCACCAGCTACCAGAGCTCCCTAGTTAGACAGTAACAAACTTTTAAAATGAGACAAAACCCATCACCTTGATAGCTCATGGTCTAGCTGGAAGCACTTGGAGCCGAGGTGCCTTTGTGTTTTGGAGGCTGTAAATCCATGGGCAGAGGAGCCGTGGTGGAGTCAACCCACTGGAGAGGTGCTGCCTTTGCGTCAGGAGTGTAACTCCCTATGACGTAGCGATACCATCAGAGCGCCCTGTGATTGTCAGCACAAACTTATTACGTAAAAACACAAGACCTACTGTCATCAAGTCAGGTCGAGCTCAGATGACCCTGTGAGACAGAGAACTGCCCACAAGGCTCCCAAGGCTGCAAGCCGCCAGAGGGAGACTGCCAGGACACCCGCCACCTCTTGGTCACCCCTACAGTATGGCCTCACTGTGCTGCCAAGGCCTCCAAAAGATGCTGGTTGTTGACTGCCTTCGACTAGAGCACAACTCATAGTGACCCTATGAAAAAAAGGCCTGAAGCCCTTCTACAACTACCGACATTTGTCGAAGTTCTTAGAGTTTCCAGAGGTATGTTGTTTAGGAAGTGGATACCACACCTGCTGGAGCCATTAAAAATGATATCATCTCAGAAAAACGGTCAGAGGGCGGTTAAAACGGAACACATCGGTTTATGAAAAGCTCACCACACAGAACTAGCTCTTCACACCCGCCTATTCCTGAAGAAAATCCTCACAGGTTGGTTTCAGCCTGGAAAGCACTGTCCTGCAGACCTAGTGCAGGGAAGTGCAGGGCCGCCATGCATCCAGAAACGACACAGGACGTGGCTCGTTCTGCTCATCGGCATCCAGACACACACGAGTTCATAAGGACCAGCTCAGTCAACGTCCACCCAGCCCACAGATCCAGACACAAGGAATACTGTGGTTCGGAGGCGACCCAACGCTGGGAAGGACCACAGGTCCCACTCTCATTCCTGGTCAGAGTCTACATGACAAAACCAGCAGCAATTCCAACAGGTGACCATTCTTGTGTCCCTGTGACAAACAAGCACTGGACGTTGCCATCAGGACAGGTGACAGACTGCAATGTGGAACACCAAACAATGAGCGGCAAGCATGTGTTGGGGTAAGAAGGACGGAAGGGTGAGAAGGACAGATGGACCACGGTCTGGCTGAGGCAAGGACGCCAGCTGATGGGTGACCGGGGGCAGACATTCAACCTGGCTTTACCGTCAAGCCAGGGGTCCGGGCTGCAGCTCTGCCACGTACAGGAAGAGCGCCCTCCCAACTGGCACATGGAACCAAGACATCACCAATCCAGACTCGGAGCTTACATTTAAGGCCAAGAGTATAATGCCAAGCTAAATAAGGGTGGTTTTTATGATTTGTGAATCTTATTTCATTTAAACTGTTAATACTTCTTTTTATATGTACATTATACACACACACACTTTTCTCCGAGAGCCAGCAAAAAAGAAAGCCTGCGTGAAGAAAGAGGCACTAAAGTATTTCAAGGAATCATTTGAAATGCTATTTCTACATAAATTTATGGTTGCACTTTATATTATCACGATTTCTTTACGGATTTCTACCAAGAATTCCAGCCCTAGCTCTGACTTCTCCATGGATACCATCTGTGGCCCACAGGAGGTTGGACCCCTCTTGGATGGCCTGAGCCTGCTGTGTTCCTGGTTACTCTGATCCTGGTTAGCTTAGCTTGAACCTTGAAGTTTAAGGTGGAGAAACTGACAGTGAATAATAGCTGCCGTGTCTAGAGCTCTGAACATGGAATCTTCTAAGTAGCACGGACAGTGCAAACCCCTTCCTGGTTACCCCGGAAGTAAACACATGTCATCAGAGCACCCTTGCAATGAGCATTTATGCCGTGTCACCAGGTCCCGTTTTGAGACAACTCCCTTTACACACTTTTATCATTTCATTAGTTTGTAGATGTAACTCATGCTTTGGGACCAAACTGCCAATCGTGGTGGGTTGACTACAGAAAGCTGTCTGCGGAATCCATTTTTCAGTGATCAAGTCTCAGGGAATGACCAATCTCATGCTCCTGGAATAACCTTGAGACTATCCAGGTATGAGCTCCCAAGGGGCTGACCTCGGTGCCTGGAAGGTGCCAGCCAGTGGTCCTGCTGCCTTCGTACCTGGACGGTGAAGTTGTCCCCCCTTCTGCATGGTGATGTTACCTCAGTAGCTGGATGGGGATGCTGTCTTCTAGTTGGACAATGATGTTGTCCCCCTAGCTGGACGGTGGTGGTGTCCCCTAGCTGGATGATGACTGTCCTCCTAGCTGGATGGTGGTATTCCTCCCTTACCTGGGCTACCTGGATGGTAGTGCAATCTCCCTACCTGGATGGTGGTGTTGCCGCCTTCCAGGAGCGCGATGGCCAGGAGGATGCTTTCATGGAACACTCGGTCACTGGACGCATTCATGATGAGATCGATGACCAGGTTGGAAGCCCCTTCCTTGTCCAGGTGGCACTGGACCTCGGCCAGGCTCATCTCCCCTCTGCTCATGCAGCCAGATCCTCCCCCTGGAAGAAGGAACACCGGTGTCACTGGCCTGATCGGAACAGGTACCACAGTCTGTGTACTAATGCCACACACCACCTGTTGCCTTCAGTGGCCTTCTCTGCAAGTCATCATTAACCACGTCTCATCAACTGGAAAGCATGCAGACACAAAGCCACTTGCCTGCAGACACACAGCTTGAAGGTGGCAGAGACGGCACTGGGACAGGTGCAGGTGGGATGAAGAATGAGGACTTTCCAACAATGTCTCAAAGTCATCCCACCAAGACCCCCTCTGACTAAAGAAAGCTGGCCAGGGACAGTTACTGAGAAGTGATGTAGGTTTCAGAGACACACCAAACCTCAACCCCCATTGAGTGGTCTGTGAAAACACAGCCTCCAACCATGACCACGTCCAGCCGACATGCAGACTCATCCTGCCACTCACTCATTCAATGGACATTTGCTCAGAGCTTGCTGTGTGGAAGCAGGGCCAGGAGAGGGAACCACCGTCCTCAGAGGTCAGGATGGACAGGTGTGATCAGACAGGGCTTACACTGTCCATTGGAATGGGTTCTGACTGTTAGTGCATGTTAATGACTTGGCTGCATATCTGTTGGCCAACGCTGGTATCTGCATATTCCTGGAGGGATGATTAAATTCTTAGACTCCTCTCTTGTCCTTGACTGCAGAGCTCAGCTCAAAGGTCACCCCCTGGCCTGCCAGCCCTCTTCTCACCCCCATGTCCCCATCAGGAGGGAGACGGTGGTCTTTTCTTCCTCCAGCACATCTGAGCCCTCGTACCACTTCCCAGGGCCTCGCGTGCCCACCAGGTGATGCCATGTGAGGATATGACTCTCCGGGCACTCTCAGGGAGTGCTGAGATGGCTTCAAGTCTGGGGCGCCCTCAGCACCACAGCCTCATGGACGCCCCACAGCCCATGTGCTAAGTGGCTAAGTGGCTGCCACTGTTTATAACTGAGGTCCCTCCCTGAGAGTTATAGGCCAAGCAGGGCACTGCTGTTCCTGACCTCTCACCTTCAGAACTGAGCTGGGCCTGGCTTCCAGCCCACCTTGGGGCCAAAACTACCTAAAACCCATGGGGAGGCAATATTTTGCCACTTTTACCTGCGGAAGTGTTTAAAATGTTTAGGAACGTCTTAAGGATTCAAGTTATCTCTACACAGGGAGTTTTGTGCTTTTGGTGAAAGCTTGTGTGAGGCTGGGGGAAGGACACAGTACAGATGAGCTTTGGGATGAAGCCCAAATCGCAGCCCGGCCACCACAGTCCTTTAGTCTCCTTTGCTAAGTTGGACTAACAGTGACCAGCAGTCACTGGCGTGTCCGTTCCAGCTGGGCGGTCCCTGGGCGTCAGCTCTGTGCTCCGCTGGCCTCTTCCAACGGCTGCTTCTCTGCTGATGTGAACCAACCTTCTGTCAGCAACTGAGCCACCAGGTAACTGACTGTTCACCAAGGGTCCCCAGGACACGTGGACCAGGGGTGGTGTCACCACCCTTACTGCTACCACCACCCCATCTTTGGAATGAACCCCAGTGACACAAGAGAAAACCACGCTCATCTGAGCATCACCTAACTGGCCACTTCACGGCCATCCTGGGCTAACATCTGGCCAGCATCTCAGTGTGCGGAAGTTTTGTAGGACGTGGCTTTGGGCATCAATTTGAGGACAGACCAACACCAAAACAAGTTGCTAAAAGTTACACTTGCAATTGAAAATGCCTGTGTGAAAAGCATTTCAACCTGTTCTTCGGAAACAAGCAGCCGTCAGGTGACAGCGCGACTTCCAGGCAGGAGAGCAGCTCACCTCCTCCGCCAGGCTTGCTGGGGCCTCCGGGTGACAGTGGGCCATTGCCGAAGCTCGTAAGACTCTCTCTTCTTCCCGAGGGTCTGACGTTCCCATAGTAACGGTTGACCAGAATTTGCCTGAGCGCCTCACCCTAATTCAAATAGGACAATCACATCAGATCCTGAGCTTAATGCATGACCAACCGACTAAAATTATTACAAACGTGGGAAACTCAGCTATAATTGGCCCAGTCTCACTAAGCTGGGGGGAGGGGGAACTATTGACAAAAACATCTGGAAACTTGGAAGTTAACGTCTTTAATATTTTTGCAGAGAATCAGATTTTTGTTTTGATATTGCTTTTCAGGGGGTGGCTCTTCAGGGCTGCCCTCACTAGGATTCTCCTGTATAGTGAGAACGGAAACAGGGTCAATTTAAAGGCAAGTGACAATCACAAAAACAAACAAACAAAAAAATCCTCTGGGGTATGCTAATAAAATTCAGATAAACTTAAAATCCGGTGGGTCCACAAAGTTAAATGAAACTCTGTTCAGGTGGGCATTTCAAGAAAAGACTAAGGTATCCAAGCAACAGAATAAAACATTGCCGAAAGCTGGAAGGGATTATTCTTAGAAATCATCGCTAGGTCAAAAGAGTATTTTCAATTAGTGAGATAGGAAATGAAATACAACAAGCATCACAAATGAAGTGATATAACGTCTGGACTTTGTTAGAAGTAGGACGGGCAGAGGAGGAGAATGTTGTGGAGGAGACGAGACTGAGAAGCCATTGAAGGTGGATTGAGAATTTATCCAACTGTTATGACTCCACAGGAACTTTACCTCAGGGGGAAAAGTGTAAAAACCTGAGGCCCAAAGGACTGGTGGGGGAGGCTAGAACTGTCCTGGTGGCTCTGACTGGACACAGAACAGAAGGTTCTCATCCTCCCTTGTCCCCGAGCCGGCGGTCACGCACACAGATGCAGGGTCTTCACGGGTGCACAGCAGCTCCCAGGGAACCTGCAGATCACCCACCGTCAGGACAATCTGCTGCGGAGTCGACTGGCGCTGTGAACCACAGCAGAGGCTGCTCCGCTGGGCTTAGGGCTGACGTTCCAGAAGCAGGGCAGACGCCTCTCCGCCAACCTGTCAGCGGCCAGCACCGTGACCATCGGCACCCCCAGGGACACTCCCCACCCCATGTGTAAGTCAGGCTGCAGGCAAAGGCCATGGAGGTCAAGGCGGCTTGGATTTCCACTGGCCTACTTCCCAGGGACAGGGCAGCAAGGCTCGGAGTTCCTCCAGCAGCATCAAGACAGTAAGTGAGAAGTCTAGCAGAGACAGAGGTGCTGAAACACAGCAGCTCTCGAAAATAGGCACTCCCCGTCCTTTTGAAGAGCACAGCCAGGGTAACATGAGTCAGGAGAACTTAAAGTGATTTGCTAATAAGCTCCAAGAATAGACCTGGAAGCTTCAAGCGAGGTGTTTGCCAAAGCAAGTTAAGAGGGGCAGACAGAGGGGAGAGTACCCTGAGGTGTCGGTAGTCCTGGGGGGAAGGCAGGGGCCAGAGAAGGAAGGAGAAAGGCAGAAAACCAGTCAGCTGTCAAAATCCTGTATCTCCTGTACTGACCCCTCCAGCTGGTCCAAGACTCAGAGATCTAGGAACAAGCAGGGGAGAGGGAAGGGCAGACAGACTTTTAAATCAAAGTTCAAGAAACAGATATGTCAAAAGCATCTCCACTGTAGCTCAGCAAAGGAGGGGACTCCTATTAGCTTATGAACCTGACTTTGATCTTGCCCAAATGCAAGTTCCAATTTCCAAGTGCACCTCAAACAGCAAAGACCCTTGTAATGCTTTTTACATAAACTGCTTGAAGGTGGGAGTGTCAGCGCAGCCTATCTTAATGACCCAGAGTCCAATCCTTCGGCCTGAAGACAGGGCCCCAATGGGGAAGCCGCCTCAGATACCAGCAGGCACGTCACCAGCAGACAGCATCTCCCCAGCCGTGACACGAACACGTGTAAAAGTGACAAGACAGAATGAAAGGGGTGGGGAGACAAAGCCACGCTGAACTGGAATAAAAAAGGAATGTCAGGAGTTGCTCTTGAGTTGACCCAATTCACAGTGACCTCAGGCATGGCAGAGAACTGGACTCTAGAAGTTTCCCTGGCTCTAATCTTTATGGAAGTGGCTCTTCCGAAGATCTGCTGGGAAACCACAGAAATTCTCTAGCTGGTGCCCTGGGCACCACAAGACCCTTTAGAAGTAGCTGGTGGAAATGGGGAGCTAATGCCTGGAAGACAGTGAGCATGGAGGGTGGGGGGCCCAGCATGAAGGGTGGAGGCAAAGGCAGGCTGAGCGGGGCTACTGGAACAGGCCTTCACTCCTCAGCTCTACGGAGTCCACACACCCACCAGCTCCCGGCACCAGGCAGCATGGGCTCCCCAGCAGCTTAGAGGGCAAAAGGCAAGGCCCTGAGCTGCGTGTGACCAACAGGAGGAAACAGAGGCAGCACCCAGAGAGCTCACGAACGCCAGGAGGCAGCACCTCACACATGTGCTGTCGATGGACAAGGTGAAGTGAAACAGGGACCTCCTGGCACCATGTGCTGCTCTTCCAACAGAGACACCCCAGTGGCTGCCACAGAAACAGACGTACCGAATGGTCCACTGTCCCCAAAAGAGACCACGGCATGTGCTACTTATGGGGACACAGTCCATCCTGCGAGCTTACGTCTCCTTGTAATGACCAGGCACTTGGCACATGGTCACCTCAGGTAAACCGAGGGGAAGACGGAGCAAGGGAGAGAGTGAACAGGTGGAGCATCATTTGAAACAGATGGACCATTCTCTTAGTGAAGAGTAAACCCTGAGCATATTAGACAAGAGGAAGCGGAGAAAACAGACAAGCACTACTAGACGTTCCACAAATCCTGCTCAGGAAAACCTGGACACAAGGAAAATCCCGTTTTCCTGAGCCAGTGGTCTAACTTGGCAAAGATCATCTGGCAAGGAAAGCCCTTCCAGCCGTCTTGCTGTCACTCCACAGCGCTGGGCTCTTCGCGGGTGCCAGGCTGCTGAGGATGGGGAGAAAGCCCACAACACCCCATCAGGCTGCTCCTGCAGGGTTTGCATCGGGCTGTGGAATCTGTTTTACTAAACAGTACTGGCTGATTGTTCTGGTTTGGTTTTTTTCCCCAGCAGTTGACACCTAGAGTTTGCCAACAAGGAACAGATGTTTGTCTATTTGCCTCTGACTGAGAAAGGGAAAGCCACGTGGGCGGTGCTGCTTTGGGCCACACCTCGTGCTGTAAGTGGGATGACTGGTGGGTGGACGGTGCAGCTCGAGGGTGTTCAGCTCCCAGCTCCTCGGGCACTGCTTCTGGGGATCCTTGCTAGCGAGCGGCTAACGGTGTGTGGGAACACTGCCCAGTGCTGATCCAGGCTCCAGCAGCCAACACCGCCCAGGAGGGGGAAGTGACCTTTGCCTGGCAGGGTTCAGCCACGTGAAAGCTGGGTGCTTCGTGACGGACACCTGTCCCTGAGGGCTGGGCCTCTCCCATGTCAGCACTTCCATATCCTGTGCACCTCACTCAGTCCTTCCAACTGTAAGGCCCCAGTACAGGGAACGCTGGTGGCCTAGTGGGAAGAAGTGGGCTGCTAGTGCAGAGGCCCGCGGTTTGAATCCACCAGCTAGCACACGGGAGAAGGATAAGCAATCTCCTCCTGTCAATTTACTGCCTCTGAAAAACCACCAGAGGGTCAGCTTTGAGTGGGTTCTAAGATGGGACAACCTGATTAATAATATCTTGTTATTGTCTAGTCACTGTGTTGGGTGCACGCACATCAATGCCCTTGGCCATGGTGTTGCTGCCACCCCCACTTTACAGCCCGGAGGACTGAGGCAGGAGCACAGGGCACCACTGGGCCAAGCAGAATTCTCCGGGTGACAGCACCGATGGCCTGTCTTTCCCGTGCTGTCATGTCTGACCATGTGATGCTGGGTATAAGACCTCTCAAGGCGCCTCCTCACTGGTGGACTGGGGAAGTCCAGGTGTTAGTTGACAGACTACAACCGAGGGTTTTCACAGCTAACACAGTGACTGGCACAGGACAGGGATTCAGAAAATAGGGGTGTCCAGTTCTCTTCCAGAAACAGGACACCTAACCATCAGTGAGGGTCAGTGCGCAGCACCGGCACATAACTTTCCAGAGAGGGGCTGTGCAATGCACACTCAGCTCCTCAGAGAGTCCCTGCCAGGGCCTCGGAATGCCCCGTCCAGGAAGCTGTCCAGAGACATTCCCTCATCCCATCGGCAAAGGAAAAACGAACTGCTAGGTAACTGATGGAACTTCAGGCAGCGGTTAAGGTTCAAAGGTTTCAAAGAAAATACTCAAATAATATTAATGGGGGGGGGGACAGTTAACAAAAGTGATACACTCAGCACAGGTCCAGGGACGACGGATGATGTGTCAGGACGTGCGTGCGTAGAAAAGTGGGCAGAAGCACAGTACAACGTCAGCAACCATCATAGATGCACGGTGGGTCTGAAAAGTCCAGGTTTTAAAATAAATTGTCTACAAAGATCACAGGAGAAACTTCCCCCCAGTTTTGTGTAAGAAGACAAGACGAGAGGGTAGAAAAGCGTCACTGGTTATCATGTCAAGATCGGCTGGGCATGGCTTTCTGATCAGCTAATAACCAGGAGAATTTCCAGGTAGCTTCATCATTGGAAACTGTTGTGATTGGTCCTGAGCATACCCCAGCCCCCAACCAGAAAAGCTGCCTTTTAATCAGAGCACGTGTGGAGAGGTAGTAGGGCCCCCGAAGCGAGACTACGTACCCTTTTATGATCCTCCAGCTGTCTCAGGGGTGGACTTGGGTCAAGCTCCTGCTAGGCATGCAGAAAGTCCACTTTAGTATCACACTGAGGGGACACTGGCAGCTTCAGCATCAGTCACAGGTAACACTGAGAGCGAGGACACAGCCACGAGTGGCACAGATCAAGGACAGGCCTCGGGGTTTTGTTTTCCAGACACAGACTGGAGCTCAGCTTCTCTAAGAGTAAACCCACAGCTTATGGCTCGGCTCTGGCTCCTGGGAGCCCAGCGCTGGGCTTTCCGGGGCCGTTTACAGAGCCCAGTCACCGGGGCCTTCTGCAGGGGCAACTCGGCTTTGTGTGAACTGCCAGCCTGGTGGCCAGCAACACAGTCTGTAAACGTGCACCACCCAGGGGGTCAGCATTTCCTGTAGGTTAAATCGGTAACTGCCCCGCTGCCTCCCCCAGTGCCCCGTTTAAGTGAGCAGGCCAAGCGCTTTTTGCCAACATTATTTCTTGAAAAGATCATGAGAAGGTAAGTTCTGTTACCCCTTCTTTAATTTAAAGGGACACAGGCAGGACTCAACTGGCAGGTCCCTACAACGGGCACATGCATCATCCCACAGCCATGCGGGAATGACATCCACACACACACTTCCCAGCAGACCCTCCAGGCCACCTCGCCCCCCAGCACCCGGATCAGGCCTCTATCAATGGGGAGCATCAATCCCCAGGGGCAGATGGCTCTAAAATGTCCATGCTGTGGCTGCCATCTGAGGCCACGTTTGGCTTCCATCTTGAGATTGCCAGGACATGTCCTTCAAATAAAGGACACTTGGTTCTAGCTCGAACGACTGATTGTCAAACAATCCATTCACACGGCCATGGACAGCAGAGGCCTGGCTCCCTTGGGCACCCCTGGGTGGTCAGGCCCTCGGTGGTCTAAGAGCCCCTTGCAGTCTACGAGCCCCTCGGGGTCAATGAGCCCTGACCTCTAAGGGAGCTCTCTGAAGACAGACGTGAAAGCTCATCTCGCACACTGCAGGGCCCCGGCAGGAGGGCCCAGGCCTTGAAGAAGTCCATCCTGCTGGGAGACGCGAAGGGTCAGAGAAAGAGGAGACCCTCAACGAGACGGGGCGACACAGTGACTTCACGATGGCTCTGAGCACGTCTGAGACGGCAAGGACAGGGCTCAGATGCGCTGTTCACAGGGTCACGGAGTCCTGGTCGACTCGATGGCACTGAACAACAACATACACCTGCACAAGCTGCAGGCCCTCTCAGCAAGCCTGCCCAGTGACAGAACAGTGAGGCCACCATGAAAAGGGCGACTTCATCCACAGCTTCCCCGAAGACTACGTGCACGAGCCGGGGACATCCACATGATGCCGTCTGTCTACCTGGAGAGGCCCTGTGTTACGTGCCATCAGGCCACGCCCCCTCCCAGCAGGGCCTCTGCCTGGCCCCGCCCTGTGGCTTCACTGCTGCAGTCCGGACATCCTGGGCCCTCCTCCTTAGTCTTCCTCCACGTGGATTCTGAGACTCGTTGTCCAAGTGGTTCACAGAGCTCTACTCACAGCTGGGAGGCAGCTGTGCCCAGGCCCCACATGGCAGGTGAGACACCCCCGGTCACCAGAAGACTAATTGTCCAGAACATGCTGCCTGGACATCCCAGGACGAGGCGGCTCACCATGACAGCACAAGCCTTTCTCTGAAGGGATGCCATGGCCTCCGCCCTGGCCAGACCCTCCCACCGACAGATACACAAGCTCACTCGGAAGCACCCTGTCAGCCAGCCCGGCAGACACAGGTGGGCACACACCTCGGTGGTGGCCTCCGCATCAGGGGTCTGTGGCAGCTGGGTGGGGCAAAACAAAGTGTGTTAGTCACAGCCTTCAGGTGGCGGGCCACACGGATGTCCACAGACAATGACATTCAGACCAATACAAGGACAGATCAGAGACAGGCGGTGGCCACCCAGGTGGGCAAGCATCGGTGATGAGACGAGACGAGAGCTTCTCTTTCCTGAACGTGGTTGTGCAGAGACCCTCAGAATGAACCAGAAAGGCAATGTGACCCCACAAACAAAGCATCCAGGGCAGAACTGGTGCCATCCGCTCTGTGCATCGGCGCCTCCTTCCCCCCAGGGGCCAAGAGCAGCACCTTGAGGATGTCCTTCCGGGACCACCAGTGGACACCCAGGTCTGGGCTCCTGCCTGCAAATCTTGCCCGTGTCAGAGAGGAGCCCTGAGGTGCTGACAGAGGAGGCCCTCTGACATCTCCAGGAGAAGCCAGGAGGTTCATGTGCATGGCCACCGTGCTGGTCACTCGTGCACTGTGCTTGGGCCACAACCTTGACTTCCCTGACCTGCTGCTCTCAGCCACACGGGCCCCTCGCTCCACCCCCTCACCCGAGGGCTGAGGAGGGCGCTTAGAGGGTGCAGATGGTCACATTCCAACGGACCCAAATGTTGAGGCTCAAGACCCTGTACAAGCAGCTTGGAAGGAAGGCCCAGCGAACCATTTCTGACAAGTCAGCCCTGACGATCCTTGGGAGCCCGGTTCTCCCGTGACAACAGTCTCCATGAGGCAAGACAACGGGATGGGCACTTTGTGCAGGAGACAAGAGCCCCCCAGAGGAACACATGTGGGTGCAGACAGAGGGCCCACCAGGAACAAACTGCTCCATGGGAGACAGTGCCCCCAGCCCCCTCCCAAGACAAGGGCCAGGAGCAGAGCTGAACTCAGACTGCACCCCCTACCCCACCTTGTCACCCCAGGCAAAGGCACACACCTGCAGCGTGAGGAGGTTCACAAGTGGAGACCGCACCAGGGAACAAACCTGAGCTATGGCTCAGTCACCTCGGCCATCTTTAGCAGTGCCCGGTGACCAGAGCCACCTACCTGAGGCTGGACCACCAGAACTACCTGCCTGAGACTGGGAACTAGTGACCAGAGCCACCTGCCTGAGGCTGGGACCTGGGGCCTGCTGACCCGAGACACCTGTCTGAGGCCGGGGCCTACTGACCAGAGCCACCTACCTGAGGCTGGGCCACCAGAGCTACCTGCCTGAGACTGGGACCTGGGGCCTGCTGACTCGAGCCACCTGCCTGAGGACCCGTGGCCGGAACCTGGTGGCCAGTGGAGGAAATTGGGAGGCTGGGCTGAGGCTGAGCACTCTAGCTTATGCAGCTCTTCTAAGACACTGGCTGTGAGATGGAGAAATGTCATGGAAAGGTGTTAAGTAACTTGATGCTGGCTGTTCTAGAACCATGGAAGCTGCAGGTGGCTTCTCCATGCACGCTAGCTTTACCACAGAACGTGAGGTATCAATTTGAGGTGTTCACTCCAGTTCTGGACAAAGGCCTTTTCCACCTGAGCCCACCCTACTGCTCTCAGAGCATACGGACTGAGGTCCTGTCATGGTGAGAAGACCTGGACAGGCTGAGACAGTCAAGGCCGGGAGAATCAGCTCAGAGATTTGGCTGCTCAAGAAACAGCAACAGCTTGCAGGAATGCGTTTCAGCTTACGCTCATACAGTGTATATTCGAAACTAAAGAATTAAAACAGAGCAAAGATTTTTGCTATGTCCTCATGGAGCATAAAATATACAAGCCGGGAGCAGGTGGCCAAGTGGCAAGGAGCACAGAGTTCAAATCCACCAACTGCTCCGTGGGAGAGAAGGACAATCAACTCTCTCTCGTGTGATTTACCACCTCCGAAAACTCGCTGGAGGTCAGCTGTAAGTACACTCCAACTCAACTCCCCAAAATGGACTTAAACAACGTCCCAACGTCTCCAAGGAGCTGCACTGCGGGGGACTATTCACTTCCACCCTGTGCCCCCCCCCACTCGAACAGACGTGTCCTTCACATGAGTCCTGGGTGGCTGGAACACAAGAACGACAGGCACAGATGTGCTGCCCAAATCCACGGAGCTCCAGCCACCACCAGGAAAGGTGCCATCGACTCACAGTGACCCTGTCCCATGCCATCATCATCTCTGATGGACTCGAGCCCACCAGCACAGCCACTGTGTCCACCTCCTTGAGGGTCTCCCCCTGACCCCCACTCTCCTAGCATGATGTCATTTTCAACAATGGTTGTCTTGTTATCATTACTTTCATTTTCTTGCCTAAGATATTCACCTCCAGCGCACCGAGTTCGCTCGGCACAGGCCTGAGGTGCACACGTGTGTGTGGTGGGAGGGAGCACTCAGGACACAATGCAGCAGACATGCGTGGGCACATGTGCACGCAGCCCTGGTGGTGCAGTGTGTAACGTGTCAGCTGTTAACCAAAAAATCAGCAGCTGGAATTTGCCAGCTGCTCACGGGGAGATTGTCCTGTGAACAGGCAGCCTCGGAAATCCAGCAGATTTACCACGTATCAGACTCAACCTGGAGACAGCCAGGCTACTTTAAAAGATAACAGATATGTCTATGTGTTTCTTACCTGCTCCAAGTTCAGGGATTTCCATTTTTTAAAGAATTCCATTTAAACAAATCCTGGGTTGTTTCTTCTTTTTTCTACGAGAAGTCTAGGATCCCTTCTGAGATGACAGCCGAAGTTTTATGTCTTCAGGAATCACTCTCACTAACTGCCATCGACTCAGAACTGACTCACAGCTGACCCCCCAGCAGGTTAGCAAAGGCTGTAAATCACACAGAAAGAGACTATCCATCTCCTCCACAGGGAGCAACTGGTGGATTCGAACTGCCTCCCTTCGGGTTACCAGTGCCACTCCTTCCCTGTCAGGCCACTAGAGCCCTACTCTCAATCCAGTCACAGAACCCAGCAGACACCTGCCCCCGCCCAGCACCTGCTCCGCTCACTCAGCTCCACCACCTGCTCTGCTTCCAGGTGCCCAGAGTGGCCCGTGACCTCTCAGGATCCCGTACCTGCCTGCTCTTCAAGGACACTGGGGAAATAGTCTCAGGACTTCTTCCAGGTAAAACATTAGGTAACGCCTTGTCTATTGTCAGTAAACCTGACATCGTAACAGCAAACAAGCACACTCCCTAAATAGTACAGGCCGCTGGGCACAAATGAGCCCTAGGCCTGGGGAAGGTCAAACCATGCCGGCTACAGGATTTGGTAAACTGACCGAGCTTCTCCTGTGACGTTCCCACAGCGGGGACTCTCCCTCAGTGGGAAGGACAGCTGTACTTCCTCAGGACAAGGCTCGAATCACAGAATGCTGCAATCTTACAAATGTATGTAGAGTGTCGACATTAAGGCAGTCACTGCATAAAGGCTACCTACACCATCCAAGGCAGAAGAGCAGGGTTGCTAAGTCAGGGGGCTGACTGCTTGGGTTCATGACATGAAAGGTGACAGTGTCACTAAGGTGGTGTGGCATGTGGATGACACCAGGTGACACTATTAAGAGGGTCAGTAAGATGACTGTCTACAAGGGAGCTCTGGTGGTCTACTGGGTAAGGATCTGTACTGCCAACCCAAAGGCAGTGGTTCGAATCCACCAGCTGCTCTGAGGGAAAAAGATGGGCAATCTCCTCTCACGTGATTTTCAGCCCCTGAAAACCCACTGGCGGGTCAGTTAAGAGACAACTCCAAATTGACAGTGATGATTCTGTTCTTTATACATTTGCTGAACAATTTTCCCCCCATATTTACTTTAAATGATGTTCATACATTTGTTGGACATATTCCCCCCCACAGATTTTTTAAACTAAAATATCTTTGTCGTTTTAAGAGTCCAGTTTACAATGTAATAGTGTATCTAGGAGATTAAAACTTGATGTTAATTTTTTGAAATTTCTAATCTGATCTTGTCTGAGTTGCCGTCATTGGTCCATTTAAAATACACTTTGCAGCCCGTGGTTCTCTTTAACGTGCTACCAGCACAGGCTGCTATTTCGCTGCTGACGGTAATCTTACACTCTGATTTTGTAAAAATTTCTGGTGTTATTGTTACAACAGTATGTGAACTAGTATTTGTGAATCTTGATCAATAACTCTTTTGATGGAAATAATTAAGAAAAGAAAGAGAACAGAAAAAGACCCCAGCTTAATTAGTAAAAAGACTGTAACACAATGTAGAAAAATTGTGTAATACCATTTTTTCTCCCCTCCCCTATAATGCCATTTGTGTATTAGTATTCACATCTAAACATCTTACAGCTATGTCACACATCACTCTACATTAAAATGGGTAACAAGTCTCTAAGCACACTGAGGTCTGGGAGGGTGACATCAGCCCTAGTGACCCACTGAAGTGTCCCTGAGACACTGTCTGGGGACTCTGATGGTCTCATCTCCCTGCACCCTCATCTCAGGACAGTCAGTATGTCGCGTGCTGACAGCCTCCAGCTCACCGGAGACTCCGCTAGTTTCAAGTTCTTGCTTCTTTGCATCCACTCTGCAATCCCCCTGGTGCTTTTCGCCAAAGCCACAAACTCGAACTTCATTCTAGAAATCGCAAATGACTGGCTTAGAGATAGAACTGTAAACCGACTCAGACGTCACCGAGTCCTGGGGGTTCTCTGTGGGCAAGCCAGACCCTACGTCCGCATGCATATGACATTCTGTGCTACCTAGGGGTGTGGGGGGAGAGGAAAAGAGGGGCCAATGTGTGCACTCCCGGAGCCGGTTCCCACTCACAGGGCCTCTCCACCGAGCTCCCGAGGCTGCGAGTCCTAACAGAACAGACTGGCACATCCTTCACCCACAGAATGGCTGTGAACTTGAACTGACAACCTTCTGGCTACTAGTGCAACGTAGTGCCACCAGGGCTAAGTAAGTGGCACACAAGAGCTGGGGTGGGGTGGATCCTGACACATGGGTGGCTCACGAGCCACAGAACGTAACTGAGTCCCATCAGTTTTGCACAACCTTTCAAGAGCAGACCACCAGGCCTTTCTCCAGAGGCACCTTTGGAAGACTCAAATCTCTCCCTCTGCAGTTAGCAGCTGCAAGTCCAACCGTGTAGCTGTCCAACCATGTAGACCTCCCGAGGGTTCCTGAATGCGTGCATAGGACCACAAGCACAATCATCCTCCAGAATGCAGAGTGTCCAGCACCTCACCCCATGTGAGCACCCCCTAAATGAGGGAGCCTCTGCTGTCACGCGCATGCCCCGAGACACTGTCACAGACTCCCTCAGGCTGTTCCCGCACCCACATCCACCCCCACCTTCCTGCCCTCCACGCATGCCCATCACAGGCCACACAAGGCAGTCTCTGCTCTGCTCTCATCTACACTGGTCCTTCTAATGCGCCCGGGCTTCTACGACTGTCGAAAAGGACCACCTCTGGCAAGGCTGACCCCTTTAGGTAAGGACGTCACAGCCACCAATGGCGACATCACAGAAGATGTGCAACACTGGGCCCTGGGCCGCCTAACCACTCAGGCCAAGCACATAGTGAGGGGCCTACAGGCCTTGGAAAACGCACCCCGAGAATAGGAAGCTTCACAGGAAGCAGCCCAGTGTTGCAGTAGAACAGTTTCAAGGTTTTGCATCTACACGGCTTTGCCAATACAACATCCTTACAAAGTTCGTTTTTACAGACCAAATGTTTTCATCTCAATGATGTCTTTTCTCTGCATTTTAAAAACAGTTCATCTGAACTCTGTAGTGAGATGGGTTTCTTTTTTTTAAAATACAAGTATTTTTCGTTGACCACCCTGGGCGAGTGTGGTCGCTGTGGAGTCATCTCAGCATCAGAAGGTAGACTGAACAGCTGCCTCGGTGCGCTCACGCCCGGCTGCCCTGTGGCTGCCGGAGCCCAGCAGTAAACAGCTCGCTACGTTTATTGGCAATTACCGCTGAAGGTCACACATCAGCAGAGTGCCTAAATTCCAGGAAAAAGCAGCTCTTATGTAACTACTGCCTGCGAGCTGGCCGCTGTCCAAGCCAGTAGTTCACAGCGCAGTGAAAAGTAGGACAGTTCACAGAGGACGTCATGAGAACGCCCCCTGAAGGTGGAGTGGTGCAGAGCAGGTACTTCCCTGGGCACCCCGATGGGAAAGCGGGGGCCCTCACCCCACCAAGCTCGGTCTGGTTTCTGCTGGGATGCAGGAAGGCCAGGCATCAGCGGATGTGACCCTCCCTGAGATGGGACAGCTGCACGTGCAGGGGACGGGAGGCCCCTCACCGCGCCACCACAGCCCCCACACGACCTTCCCTTCCACAGACACAGAAGTTGACGGACCTCGGCTCATTGCCGCCTTCTTGTCAAACCATCCCTTTTACTAATGTCACACTTCATGGCTTAGGAAACAGCGTCCCTGGATTCTGACTCACAGCAGACCTGGATTCTGGGCCCCAAAGGGTTTTCAGTGGCTGATCTGGCCCAAGTAGACCCTCAGGCTTTTCCTCTGAGGCAAGACCCTCCACGGCCACTCTCAGTCAGCAGCTGAGCCCGCTGACCACTGCCTGCCCAGGGCATCCACGGCCTGGGCAGTGCTCCCTGGCACCTGGCAGTGCTCCAGCCACAGTTGACCTCTGCGTGTGTCTTCCTAGCACTGTTCACCTGCCCTCTCACACCAAGGACGCCTGTGTCATCCTGTGGACTCTGGGGTGCGGACAGTGCCCACCTGGGGCACACAGCATTTATCATGTAAAAACAAGGCAAAATAAGAGAAAAGGGAACTCCCTGGGGTGACAGAACGGTCCCTAACTTGGCACACACATATATACGTAGAACATCTCTGCAGGAAGCAGCCCAAGGCTGAGCTCAGGGCACTAATGCAACACTTGTCCTTTCTCCTCTACTTGTCTTCCCCCTTTACAAAGAAACAGGTGCAGGCAGGAGCTAAGGGTGCAGTCGGCCTCCGTCTGCTTGCTGGTTCCAGAAGGCAGCTCGTTCGAGCAGAGAGCGGAGATGGCCGCAGGGCGTGTGCTCTGCTCACAGGGACTCCGAGTGTCCTCGTTTCACCCTATCTTCTTGGAGCACTGATGGGGACTTAGCAGGCGCTGTGCTTTTTTTTTTTCTGTGTTTCCAGCACAATTCCTCTCCAAGATGGTCCACTGGTTTCATTATCCAGGGTTGGCGGCCCCTGTTCGAGTGGGAACTCGGGGCAGGGGTATTGCCCTGACCTGAGGGGCTCTTCTTAGCATACTTAGCACGTGGGGTGCCATCTGGCATGCAGATGGGAGGGCCTGCCTGAGCCCCATCCCCTCAGGAGCTTGTTAAGCTTCTGCAGAGCTCCAGCTGTGGGCTGCTGGATTCTAGGAGCCTCGATGACAAGAGCTTGGTGGGGAAGACAGCCCCGGAGAGGCAAAGTCTGCAGAATGCCACCGACGATAAAGGGCGTGCCAGCATCTCTGCGCAGAGCACCGGATCCCACGGCTCAGGGAGGAGGGACAGCGCTCTGGTGTCCCCGGGTGCTGACAGTTGCCAAGGGCAACCACCAAGAGGGGATCCACAGCTGCTTCCTCAGGGAATTTCAGGGAATCCAAGTGGCTGCCAGAACATTCTTCTTTTATAAACAGACAGTATTCTATTTCCTAGAGTATAATTATAAACACACCTGCTCCAACTGTGGAATCTTTCCATAAGCAAGCAGCAAACTCCCAGCCAGGAGACCCAAGTGCTATCTTGAGCAAGCAAACACATCCACTGATTACTATGGTGCAAAACAGTGTATTAATAACACCACACACTCCTCTCTGATTAAGAAAGGTTTCCCTCTTCTGCCTTCATTTTACTTAAGCAAAGAGAGACTCAACCTCAATACTGCACAAGAATTTCAATCAGGGAAGCATTCACACTGCAGACAGCAAAGGGTGCCGACATGCAAATCCAGCATATGTTTTCATTATCCACTGCTGCTATCACAGAAATATCACCAACAAGTGGCTTTAATAAACAGAAATTTATTTTCTCACAGCCTAGGTGGCTGGCTCTAGGGACACTTTCTCCGTCGCCTCTGGGGGAAGGTCATGCTCTCTTGTGGCTTCTGCTCCTGGGTGATCTTCGTGTGGCTTCTGAGGGCTCCACCTCTTCTCATTTTAGCTTGTTTACTCTCTAAGTCAAGAGATCTATTCCCGACAGTCTATACTGATCCTAACTCAACCGACCCACGGCTGGCCCTCCAGTGGGTTTTCAGAGGCAGCTAATCCCATGAAGGGAGACTGCCTACATGTTCCCCGAGGAGCAGCTGGTGGATCTGAACTGCTGCCTTGGGGTCAGCAGCACAACCCCACACGATTAACCCCCAGAGCTCCCTCATTAACAGAACAAGGAAATCCCCTGTGCAAGTGGGAGGATAAGCACAGGCATTTAGGATTCACAACATACCTTCTTGGGGAGATAGAACTGACTTGATAATAGCATGGCGTGTCCGGCATACAGATAACCCAGGAAAAGAAAATCTATGACCAGAAAGCAGCAAAGGTCGCTTAGCTAGAGGAGTCATGCTTCCTGCTTCTATCAGCTTCGCACAGAGGACGTTATGCCTTCTGCGCCTGTCCACATCTAACTGACGAGCGGAAACCTTTGTTTGGAGATGCGTTGTAGTACTGGATCAGGAAGGGCCCCGGAGCTAAGTCCACCAGGCCCTCCAGCTCAGTGCTGTCCAACTGTGTGCTGGGACCAGGCCCTAAACTCTCTGAGCTCCATTCTTGACCAAATCCATTTGTGATGCTTGGAACTTAATTCTGGGATGTGGATTCTCACACAGATACAGCCTAATTCTTAGTATCTGAATGTAAGGGTAACAACTATTAGCGTAGACGAGCTGCCCTCTCTGGAAGCTAGATCTCAGCCCAAAACACTCATCTGACCGACAAGGGGTGGGGACTAGCTCATAGCTGACCTTTCAGCAGATTCTGAAGAGGTCGTACATCTTATCAGAGGAGAATGCCCATCTTTCTCCCAAAGAGCTGCTGAGGGCTTAGAACTAACTGCAAGACTCGCACCGCCTCTGGGTTGACAACACCACTCCCTACATACTGCACCACTGAGTTCTCACCCCGAGCGGGGCCTTATCAGCTGGTCCATCCGACAAGGCAGCAGACCAGAAAAGTCATCTTAGCCACTCAAGTAGAAGGTTTCCAGTGTGTTCAACCTGAAAAATTAAACAATTTCGCACTCTCAATTATGTGCATTAGTTCATTAATACACATGCTCTGTATTAATACACTTACACTAAAACAGGGCTTTTCCCCGGAATCATTTACCTAAGCATGTGCTGCATCCTAACAGTGTGGTGAGCAACACTGGAAAAAGTCACAAAAGGGAAAAGAGGCTCTAAACTCCACACAAAATTCCTCCCGTGAGTCTCTGGTTCCAGTCTAGATAGGTTAAGCTAACTTGAGCTACAACAGAAACCGTGGTATTGTGTTTCCATTTCTGGATCTACAGATAGATTTCCAGAAGAGAAGCCAGGGATAGACCTCATTCTCAATCCCGAGGGCACGTCTGCGGCTTGACTTCTCAACTCTCACTCTGGATCCTTGAGGGTTCACCTGACCCCTCACACTCAACACGTTCTTCCAGGGCAGCAAAAGCACCGCAGCATCCTGTGCCTGGAGGGCCGGACCAGTGCCCTGCTTTCCTTCTCCATGTCCGATGCTTCACAGACAGAAAACTCTCCTTGATGATACCCAAGCTTCATTTCCGAGCTAAGACTAGCACCAACCACAAATTCAGTTGAGATTCTCGACAATGACTGAAATCTTATCTAGCCTCAGATGGGATCTCAAAGGACAAATGGCAAACACACCCATGGAACTGCTAACACAGACAGGACTCCCAGAAGGCACACGGACAACGTCAAACGCCAGACACGTGGGGCCAGAGGACAGGGCACAGGGCCAAGAGGGAGACCGTGATGAGCACACCAGCATGAGACAGTAAGAAAAAGCAAACTGAGAACCTCCGCGTTATCCAATTCATCAATGGAAATCAGCTGGAAGAGAAGAGAGAGAAGAGGGCACAGTTAGAGAGAGAAGCTGGGCACCGTGTGAGAGTGCTTCCATGCTGGGATCATGACTCGTTCAGGCTGAAGCTCTGATAGTGACCATTTCCCCAAGGGACAGAAGCATTCTGTGCGCCACTACTGTGCGTGGTGACACTGCTCAGTGGGCAGGGGACCACATGCCAGGCACCAAGGGTCGAGCCCTGCAAGCTCGGACTCTCCTGGCATGAGTCCCCACGCTCAGCCGAGCCGGCCCAAGGGTCTTTTTCAGAAGAGGGTGGGAAACACTCCAGCGCTAGAGCAGGGCTGACTGAGCTGAGAAACGAAACCTTCCTGTCACCTTGTTTTACGATTCCACACGGTGGTCAGAAACAGAGTACCCTTCAGCAGGACTAAATCGGAAGCAGCTGCAACTTCAGATTAGAAAGACCAACCCCTGCGAGATGACTGTTCTTGTGGCATGCCACCAAGCTGGTCCAACTCGTGACGCTGCCTCTGAGCCAAGCAGCTCGGAGCCCCACGGCTGCTGGTGACCAAAGGGAGTCACACCCTGACCAGGAGCCTGTGTCCACTGGGCACACTCACAGGCCACCATGGGGCACTGGGCACTGCCATCCAAAACAGCAAAGAACTGTCACAATTACACTGGTGTAGAGAGATGAAGAGCCTCGGCGGAGTTTTAGTGCGCCTCATCAATACGCAGCCCTTTTTGCCAGTTTAAAGTCACTGGAGGAAACATTGGTCCTCTCCTGGACAGAGGCATGCGTAATCATCAGGGACTGCAGAGCTGCACGAAATTAAAAACTACTTGACTTGGATTTTAAAGAAATTCTAATTTTCCTGTTGTGCTAATTTTTAACCTCTGAATCTCATCCCAAAGCTTCTCTTTAACTAATAACTTAAGGTAATAATGCCAAGAAAACAAACAGGTCTGTCTTGGAGAGGATGAAACCAAGTTCCTCCCTGGAGGCTAGGATTTTGAAGCTCTGTCTCACATACTTTGGGCACGTGGCCAGGAGACTCTGATCCTTGGAGAAGGACATCATGCTCGGAAGGGCAGGGGGACAGCGCAGGAGAGGAAGATCCCGGATGGGATGGATTGATACAGTAACTGGGGCAATGGGGGTAGGTGAGTCGGAGTCAGTGAGACTGGCTCAGGACAGGGCAGGCTTCAGAGCTGTTATACAGGGGTCACTATGAGTTGTAGATGACTCAATGGCACATAACAACAACAACAGCTGCTTGATAGGAAACCTACAGTAAAAAAAAAAGTGTTGCTACTGAGCAGATTGAACAGCCACAAGGGGGTTTCCTGGGTGTAATCTTTACAAAAAATGATTGCCAGAATGTTCCTCCATGCACTACTGTGTGGTTAAGAGTCACTTCCAAACCACTGAACCAGCAGCCTTCCAGCAGACCATCAGAGTCACTGCCACGGAGCTGCCACTCACTCCTACCTGGGCCTCCAGTGATTTCCGCAGCTGTACGGGGGGAGGGGCTCCCATTCACCCTTGGAATCGCCCATGGGTGGGACCCACCAAAGAGGGGACAGCCTTTGGCTGAACAGCACCGTGGCCCGGAGTCCACACCATCCGCGGAGACTCCCTAAAGAAAGCTACGGTCTTTGGATGACGTTGGACAGTCCAAACTTTAAAAGTCATTTAGTGGCCACTGGGGAATGTCTTCAGTTGAACGAGAAGCCCCAATGGTGACAGAGACCAGCTATGGACGGCCAGCTCTCGGGCTCACCACTGAAGCTTACAAGGCTGGCCCTGGAAGGAGGCTTTTAGGATTGCAACGGCATTAGCCTGTCCACTCCATGTGCAGAGAGGACTCAGGCTATGCCTGGCCAGTGTGGGAGAAGCGGGATGCACAGCGCTCAAGGGCTCAGCTCTCACAGGGGCGGGCAAGCTGGGCCACTTCCAGGCAAGTGCAGCCTCGGGGACTCTACACAAGTTCTACTCTGTGCTACAGAATCCCTGAGTCACAACTGATTCAACAGCAATGCGAATGTCACAGGCCCACGTCTGAATTTCTGGCCGTGGGACCCTGACACATTTCCGAGCCTCTCTGAGCTTCTCTATTATAAAATGTTAACATATAATTGTTCCTCAGTTACAGAATGTTAACAGTGCTGAATATCCAGCTCAGGCTGACCTGACACAGTGACCAGCACACGTATCACTGTTATTTTAGATGGACTGTAGGAAACCACTGTGTGTAAATGACATTTCAAAGGTAAAATTCCATATGACCCAGCTACTCCACTGCTTGGAACATACCTCGAGAAAATGGGAACTGAGGCACAGAGACTTGTACACCAATGTTCATAGCAGTGTTATTCACCATTGCAAGAACATGGAAACAGTCCAAATGTCCAACCACTATCAAATGGGCTGAGAAATTCTGGTACGTTCACACAAGAGAATACTATGCAGCACACAGGAGCAATGCTTTTTGAAACTCACTGCCTAACTTGGGACAAATACTGTAAGAGACCATTACTGTTGAACAAGTATGAGGACTCAAGTGGGGGAGGAGGTAGCAGGGACTGAGGATGGGTGGAGGGGGAGGTGGTATTAACCAATTTGATGGGTGGTGGGAGGCATGAAGAAATGGGAAAGATCCAGTGTGAAAAACAATGTATTTGAACTTGTAAATAAGCCAGTATAAAATAAGTAAATCAAAGGTGCAGTTCTGTCTGGGGGTGACTCTGTGGCCTGTCAGCCAGCTGCTAAGACTGTTCTCAGAGCCCTTCTCGCTCTCCCAGGCAAGCAGACCGACACAACAACGCCAACAGTGCTGAGCTGGGTACTGAAGAACACTGTCAGCTTTCCCGTTCACTAGATGTGAAATGATGAACGAAAAAGCACGGAAGGGCACAGGCCCTGTTGTTTCATTGCTCTGAAGGACTAAAGAAAAGCGGACAATAAACCTGAGTGCCCCCCAGGTGGACACCGCTGTGGGCAGGCTGGAGGAGACCCTGCATCCGGGTGCAGGAATCCTGACATCCAGCCTAGACGTGGTCCTGGTGCAGCATCGATCTCGTCAGTCCTGATGTCCAGTGTGACCTGGAAGGCACTTCTGCATTGTTGGCCACAGGGATGGGGCTGGGTGAGATGCTGACTGAAAGTCCTCACGACCCGATTCCATGACAGCGAAGACTCGGCAGAGTCCAGGGAAGCAGAACAATCTTGGACTCGGCCAAGACATGAGTTGTGGGAGGTGTGACCCAAGAGGACATGCAGGACCGTCACCCAGTGTCCTTGGCCCAAAGAACACCACACTTCTATCCGTTCAGGTCGACTGCGTGCCCGAGACAGCTTCCTCCTGGGTGCAGGGTCACTGCCACGCTGAAGAGGCTGGCTTGTCCTGCACAGCTTGCTTTAGATAAAGGGGGACAGCAATTCAACCATCAAAGTCCTCTTCCAAAGCCTCCATGGCACAGGGGTCGTTAACACGAAGTGCAGAAGGGAGAAAGAAGCTGCTTTCTCTCCTGTGAAGCCTGACTAGCAGGACTCAAAGCGTTGGCTGGGACCACCGCTGTGTGTACATTAGGCTGGAGAGCTGGACGTCACTCAGCGTCCTCCTGGGTCACAGGGTAGGTCTCACATGTGATGGTGGTACTTTAACTTTCAGGAAGAGCGCGCCCACAGGTTAGGAAGACAAGCCATCTCTCCAGCACGGCACTCTATTGAGATTTGACTAATTTCTTCAGTAGCCAAAGTGGGGCTTGAGTGAAGGCTTTTGAAACAATTGCAGGTCTCTCAAAATGACCTCTGGCTGTCCCTCTCCAGTGCCCTGTCTCTGTCATTTTCATAAACTTTACAACAGGCAAGATTAGAGCATTTCTAGGAAAGTGTTCTCTCGGTGGTAGGGGCTGGGAAAGAGATTGCAGAGGCAGATTTCCCAGAAGTCCGAGAGCCCCTCAAGCACTCATCTGTTTAGAAACAGAGGCTAAACAAACGCCCAAATCGTCACTTTCCAGCTCAGAAAGAGAAGTCTTGAGGGAAAATAGAAGGCTTACAGAAGAAAGAATGTTTCTGCACTAATGTGTAATACTTACTGGGTGTGAGATCAACACCAAGAAAACGACCCATCAACACGGAGCAAATGACCCTTCTCAAAGTCTGCTTTAACACTCCTTTCTAGAAAGAGACTTATTCTCAAGAAGAGAAAATGGTGATTCTTACATCTTAAATCCAGGTTTTATGCTCAAAGGGGCCCCTGCCTCTCTGGTTAAGGCCCTCTTGGTATATTTTAGAAGGAGACTTAATTTCTATTCTGGAGTCAGAGTTAACCTATTGTTAAGGCTCACTTAAAGAGAAAGAAAGATTTTATAGAAATCATGGTTCTCTTTGTTTGCATCAGTGCATTACGTGCCCCTTCCTCCTCTCCTCTTCACCTGCACCAAGGTCCATGCTGGTGTGGGTCAGCTCCCACCACCGCGGCCTGGGGACTACAGTGTCCACCCTTGTCCGGTCCTGCACATAGGTAGAATCAAGGCTGTGTCTGAGCCCAGAGTGCAGTCACTCTGTCAGTTCAGCCAGTGAAGGTCTTGTGCTTTTCACAGATAATCTACTTTACAAAGAATGATAATTGCGCCTGGGACTGGTCCCTCCTGACGGCATATCCAGAGCATGTGAGACAGGCTCACCAAGCTCATGTCTAAGGAATCTTCAGCTAGACTTCCTCCAAGGCAGACTGATTTTCCCATTCTGGGGCACACGCAATGTTCTTTGCCAGCGCGACGTAGATGCATCAATTCTTTGGTCTTCTTATCCACTGTCTAACATTTGCACCCTTACAAAGTAATTAAGAGTGCCAAGGCTTGGGTCAGCTGCACCTTAGTCCTTACAGTGACACCTTTGTTTTTTTAACCCTGTAAAGAGGTCTTTGACAGATTTTTCCAGTGGAATATTAACTGTTGCTTTCATGGGACACTGACGGTAGATTCCAGCAAAATAGTATCTTTTGACGATTTCAGTCTGCTCCAGACATCATGACATCACTTACTGGTCCAGTTAGGAAGGCTTTTGCTTTCTTAGTCAAAGTTTTGCTTTTCCTGAGGTGTCATCCACACTACGTAGCCTTCAAGTTACATCAGTAAGTACATCAACTCTTCTCCACCTTCAGAAAGCAAGGCTGTGTCATCACTGATCCAATGCTACGTTGTGCCTCATACGCTTCTCAGCAGAGTCAGCATGGAGAAAAGATACAATCCTAACACACTTCTCCTGATTTGAAACCACAGAATACCTCCTTGTTCTGTTCAAACAGTTGCCTCTTGGTCTGTGTATAGGTTCTGCCTGAGCAAAATTAAGTGTTCTGGAATCGCCATTTTTCATAGGTTATACAGAATTTGTTATGAGATTCCTAGTTAAACGTTTTTGCATAAACAATGAAACACAGGGTAAAAAGCTTTCTGGCATTCTGTCTTCAGCCAAGATACATTTAGTACCAGCAAAGGTGTCCCTGTCCCGTGGCCTCTCCTGAGGCCAGGCAGAGTATCTGGTGGTCTTCAGCGCAGGTGCTGTTGTCACTGTTTTTATATCATCTTCGTGAAGAATCGACTTGTGTGCAGTATTAAAGATACTCTAAGAATTTCCACTGCTTTGGGAATGACTTTCTTTGGAATGGGCACAAATACGAATTTCTTCTAGCTGGCTGCCAAGGGAGCAGTCTTGCAAATTAGTGGTACAGACCAGTGAGCGCTTCTAGTGCTTCGTCCGCTGACTGAAACACCTCAACTGGGGTCCCACCAGCTTCTGAAGCACTCTCACTCCACTCCAGGGCAGCCAGGACTTCGCTCTTCAGCACCACTGCTCCCTCCTATAAGGGAGGCGTCCTGGCCAACCCTTTTTTGGTGCAGTATCTCTGTGCAGTCGTCCCATCATCCTCTGGTGCCTCCTGCATTATTAGTCAGTAGCAATGGTATCTCTATGGAGACTAAGGTGCGTCTGATACAGGCCATAGTCTTTGCAATCACCTGTTATGCATCAGAGAGTTGGACAATGACCAAGGAGGATAGAAGGAGAATTGATGCCTTTGAGCTGTGGTGCTGGAGAATAGTATTGTGTCTGCTAGGAAAACAAACAGATTTGTCTTGGAAAGGGTTAAACCAGGTGGCTCCTTGGAGGCAAGGATTCCGAGGCTCCGTCTAACTTACTTTGGACATGTTATGAGGAGAGACCGGTCCTTGGAGAGGGACATCATGCTTGGGAGGGTGGAGGGACAGCCCAGGAGAGGAAGGCCCTCTATGAGGTGGACTGATTTAGTGACTGGGATAGTTGGGATGGGAGTGTCAAAGACAGTGCGATTGGCACAGGACAGAGCGGAGTTTAGGGCTGTTGTACATAGGGTCGCTATGAGTCGCAGGCGACTCGACAGCACATAACAACAACAACAAGTTTGCTTATAGAACTCTTCAACATTGCATCTTGAGGCTTAAATATTTTTTAGTTTTTTTCAGTTTTAGAAATGCAGAATGAAAAAAAAAAAAAGAAATGCAGAATGGGTTTTTCCCTTTTGGTTATCTAATTTGAGGATGTTTTATATTTCATTTAATATTTCACTTTGTGTTCCTGAGTTGCTCTTTTAAATACATTTAGCTTGTATTATTGACATTAATCAAATCTTTGCTGGCATAGTTACTCCATAAAATTCCTACTGAGTTACATAAGTAACTTTTTAAATTAGCCAACATTCATTTATCTTTTTATTTATATACTGAAATGAACAAAGTGTCTTTAAAAAACCTTGTTATTTGGTGATAAGAACGTACTACCATAAAAACTGTGCATTTTCTGGTTTTTTCTTTATGTCTAGGGCTAAATTGCTCTGACACTCATAAAAACAGATGATCACTTGGGTAAAGCAGGGTCTCGGCTGACTTTGTCACATTCACTGCGGCAAGAGAGCTGTGATTTCACTGTTCAAGTGTCATTGTGAGGTGGTGTTAGGGTTAAGTCAACAATACCTCTGTATCTCTCTACTCAGGAGTTACTGCAGAGTAATTATTAGGTTCAAATGAACAATTGTGAGATTCAAGCTGAACACTCTATTGCAGGCCTGTGACTTCTTTGCTGGGAGCACATCAGTGGGGTGGTGGGACAGTGTTTCTTTTGCTACCACCAAGCCTGAGGTGTCAGGGAGGTCTCTGCACACCCGTCGGGGCACCAGGTCACAAAGGAGTGCATTGCACAACCACAACTACAGTGGTACGTGTCAGCCTGCCTTGATTCCAGTCACAGCTGGAGGGAGTTTCTGGACGCACAAGAGGGATTGTGCAATGTCTTACCCGAAAGCAGAAGCAAGTAAACCCACAGGTATGCTTCCCTGGAACCAAAAATGTAGAGTGCATGCTTTCCCCCACAAGAGGCATTTGTCTTTTCACCAGGAATTTAAAGAAATGAAAAATCCTGTTATTCCTCTTTCTCTACTTTCAGACTGTGTGGCCAGCCACCTCTAAGGGGGGACTATGCATATTTGACTTTCAAAGCACAGCTAATAAGATTTCGTTATCTCTAGGGGCCGGATAAAAGGCTTTCTTGACCTAACTTTAAACTCTCAGCCTGTAAGTAAGTATGGTAAGGGGATTCAGCACCGCCGCCTCCCTCTCCACACACTTGAATGGGTCAGCACGTGCGCCTCCCGCGGGGGTCAGCACGTACACCCTCTACAGGGGTCACTGTGAGCCTCCCGCAGGGGTCAGCACGTGCGCCTTCCCAGGAGAAATGCCCACCTTCTCCCCGTAGCCTCTGTCTTTCGTCATCATCTCCCGGAGGGTCTGCAGCACTTTGATGCATAATTTCTCCTCATTCTCCTCCAGCAGCTGTTTCGTGTGCTTTATTAGCCTGAGTGAGGAAAACCAGATGTCACACCTTTGAAACCCTCTGAACCCTTTTTAAAAACTACACAAACGGCTTAGGGCATCTTAGTCAATTAGACAAATGTACTGAAATCCGCAGGTTAAAGGCCTCCTTGTCTACATTGACACTAATGCCCGAAGCCAAGCTGCTACTGCGCCCCAACAGCGACACCTGCTGATCGAGAGAGGCAATGCTCACAGGGCAGGCCACTCAGTTGCTCATTTTTCCAAGTGCATCAATGACCTTCAAGGTTGTTGAGAAGTGGCTACAACGGGCCACTGCGTGAACGTCGTGCTGAGGACAGCAGCTGGGCAGAAACACATCGTCCCTCAGCCACACTGTGGACCTTTCTTGTTGCTGTTGTGAACCGCTGTGTGGAACTGACCCAGAACGGACCCTCCGAGGTTTTCAGAGGCTATAAATAACAAGGAGGAGGGGACTGCCCATCCTCTCCCAGAACAGCTGGTGGGTCTGAACCTTCATGTTGGCAGCTCAGCTCCTTAAAACTGCACCAGAAGAGTCCAAAATGTGCAAAAACCACTGGCACAGACAGACAGGGCGAGACAGACAAGCCACCAACCTGGCAGTGAAAAAAAATGGAGCTTCCTGGCCACAAAGCTGTCAGGGAGAGATCATGTGGTCCTTGTAGGCACGAGCCCTCTGAGGGCTGAGGCCATGCGTGTGTCTGCATCATGACACACAGGACGTGCACTGCACAACTCGTGGAATGGATGAACAGGAATGCCACGGAAAGGAAGCCTCAGCTGGAGTGATTTCGGCTACACATGACTGTGAGAAGGCTGGGCCAGGGCTGGAGAACACACGTCCACCAAAGGCAAAATCAGGGCTGCTTCCTCCCTGGAGCCAAAGGCTGGCTGGGTCATCATGGGGTGAAGGGCTGGCCGGGTCATCGTGGGGTGAAGGGCTGGCCTGGCCATCGTGGGGTGAAGGGCTGGCCGGGTCATCGTGGGGTGAAGAACTGGCCTGGCCATCGTGGGGGGAAAGGCTGGCCTGGCCATCGGCCCAACCACCACATCACCCAAGGAGGAACTACTCACTTGCAGATGAAGCCCCCGCTTTCACATTTTCTCCTGGCATCTGTGTTCTCCGGGAACAGGAGCTCTGGCCGGTGGAGGACATCCACCAGCACGGACAGCTCCGCCTGCACCAGGGGCCGGAGGCGGTCCTCCAGTGCAGAGACGATGTCCTGGAACGGAAGCAGTCTGGTCAACGTCCCGTCCGCAGGAGAGGGACAGGCGGCTGGGAAGGCTCGCTCTGACCTACCGCATGACGCCCAGGCTAGGCTAACTCTACACCGGCTGGCATTCATCTCAAAGTATTAGATGGTGGCCAGTGGTTACTTTGAAGCATTAGCCTCTGATGCAAAACACAAAGTTAAAAAAAATGAAGAAAGTCAACATTCCCACCACCCCTTCTTTCAAAACAATTTTATGCTACTTGAGGGATCATTCCACACATTTTAAAATATGAAGCAAAAAGACAGATTCAATACTATGGAAAGATGTCTGTGGCATGAGGGAACCAAACGGTCAAACAACGGTATGGACCACAGGATCCTCTTTTTTATAAAGAATATCAATATTTAAAGACTATGCAGTAATTATTACTGATATAATGACTATCACTGGGTGGTGGGATCACAGGTGAGTCTAAGTACCTTCTATATATTAATACTCAGCAGTCGTGTGCAATTATCTCACAATGAACATGGGTTTCTCAGAGAATAAAGTCGAATAAAAACGAGAACACAAATGAGTGAACATGCTGTATCAACATGCTAAATACATGTACCCTGATAGCATGATGGTCTCCAAATGCAAACACACAGCTGTAGGAAAGGAGAACAGAGAGAAGGTGAAAGGCAGCAGAACCGACAGTACACACCGCATCTGGGCAAACGGCAGAGAACAGACGGGAAAGTCCTCAAAAGATGCTCGTGCCGCCTCTGCGGCTTGGTGACTGTGGCCCTAGCGGAAGCCACGCTGTGCCAGACGGGGACAGAATCCAGCATGTTGGGGACGCAGGAGGGCTCAGCCAGGCAGGGGACATGCCTGGAGAAGGCCCCGTGAGTCACGCCCACCTCAGGGGAGACCAGATTTCTCAGGTAACAGGCCAGAGCCATGGCTTCATCTTCCATTTGGAAAACCAAATGTGTGAAGACAATGTGCCCGATCTCTGATTTAACCCATCTGGGTACTAAGTGCAGTCCTCACTGATGCTTGCGATGAGTAAACAATAAACCGGGTACTGATGTGGGGGGTGGGCAGTGGTGACCTGCGAGACCACGGACAGTGCACTGCAAGGCCTCCTGGGACCGGCCACTCCCAGAACACTGGGGAGGCTAACTGGCAGCCCCCCTGCAGGGGCCCCCAGCAGAGGCTTTGTCAGCAGAAGTCGTTCTCCAGCATCTCGGGTGCACCTCACCACATCCTGCATCTTCTGAATGATTTGAGCTTTACAGTGCAACCGATTTGCACTGTGTTGTCAAATCCATGGCATCCGGCAATCAGAGGGGCTGACAGACAGACGGCAAAGCAATGGGCAGGAAAGATGCCTGTGTTAAGTGGGGGCGGGGGGAGGGCATTATGCGAGAGGTTGGGCTGTGCATGAATGCTGCTTACATATGACAGCCACTGTCCCCCGGGGAACCCTGCAACTGCAGGAATGAGGACAGCCATCAGCTGGACAATGCAGACCCCACGCCCCCAGCCACACCCTCACCCAGAGCACTGCCCACCGGTGTGTCTGATCTCACTCAACACGCCTAACCAATCCAAGAGTCTTCTAAGCTAGGGCATCTGGCTGCAGAGACCATTCAGGGTGGGCTGCCAGGCACCAAATGCTGCCCTGAGCCCCCAGTGCCCACCCCACGTGGAGCTGCACAGCGGGGTCAGGATCTGAGCCATGAGGTGGCCAGTGACCTGACTTAGCGCTCCTTCTGCGAGAGAAAGGCTCATGTTCAGAGCCTGACCTGTCCTCCCCCAGGCCAGGGGCTCCAGTCACCCCATCTGTCCACACAATGTTCCCGTTCATGCTTTCCTCCCGTCGGGTGCTGTGGCCCCCACTCCTGGAGGCACCAGGCACGACGGGATGGAGCATTGCGAGCACCCGGCTTCCAGTGGACGTGCCATCCTGTGCTTAGCATCTCCGCTGGCCGGTGGGGCGCTGGCTGGAGACCAAACCCTGGTCTCCTGGAGTCCAGGTGGGCATCCTACCACTCAACTACATGGCCCTGCTGTGTCTGTGGGCCCTGTGGGTCCTTCCTGTCAAGTTTCACAGTGGAGTCTGAGATGGAATCAGGTCCCTTCTCAGCATGGCACCGGGTATTCCTGTCTTCTCCATGTGTGATCATGGCCTCTCCTCTGCAGGACTCCAGACTCCATGCAGCCAGAGAGCATTTCTGTGTCAGCCCCCCTCTGTACCTCACTGCCACGCCTGGCACCAAAGGGCACATCAACTGTCCTTGCTGGTCTCTGCCCCTACCAGCCTGGGTCATCACATGCCTCACAAGGTGCCTCACAGCAGCCATCCTCCACGTTGGCCAAGCGCCTGCCAGGCTCGGGTCTAAGTTGCGTGTGCTGCGTTCTCCACAGATGGCCAGCACAGCAGACCCCTCACACGCCCTCCCAATAACCTTCCTCCCACCGTTCCTGTCCCCTCCCCTGGAACTTCAGTGGGCCTCTGGGACAGCCCTGAATACAGAGTACAACAGAAAATGCTATGTGACCACTGCAGCTCTGTGATAAGGCTTTCCCTTCTCTCTGTCCAGCGATGCCCACGCTGGGCTCAGCTGCCACGCAGTCACAGAGGATCCCCTTACTAACCAGGTGAAGTCTCAACCTACAACCAGCCAGAGTGGCCAACTCGTGCACGATGTTTCAAGGTGAGGCCCCAGCCACCGTCTGGCCGTAACCACGCAGCCTGCCAACCTCTGGAAAGACAAAGGTATTTGCTGCTGGTTTACATTAAGTTCTAGGGTGACCTGTTGTACAGAGACAGAAAACCAAAACACACAACTCTTACTCATCACAGCAGCCGGTGAAGACACCTACAGATTAGGGTGCGGATGGCCAGGAGCTACACAAGATCCTTGGGGCTATACCATTTCTACACAGGGGGCCAGGGTTTGAACCCCGGCAGTCTGGCCTGAAACCAAATTCTCACTCACTGCTCCAGGCTCCTCAAAAGACCTGTGGAGGCTGCACTGCCTGTGCGTGACCCAGGGGTGCTGCTGGGCAGGACTTAGGTCGATACTGATCAATGATGTGTACTCATCAAGGCAGATGTCAGTCTCCACCTCCTCTAGTCCTTGCTGCCCTCCCCTTCCATGAAGGGACAGCCACCAGGGCGGGTGCTGAGAAAGGAAGGACACAGCCGGCTGGAATCCAGCACTATTTTCATTTGGCTCATTTGGATACCAAGCTCTTCCCTCCGGCAGTCTTACATTCCTCACCTCCTGATCGGGGCTGAATGCCTGAGTGTGAACCCTAAATGTCTCCATAAAGACAATGCAAACCCACGAACAACCTTAAAGACCACTGTTGTCCAGCTCCGCCCCTCCCAGCTGCTTCCCACTCCCGGCCACGCACCTGTCTGCTGGGACTGGCCATGCACACTGTCTGCCCTACACACACTGTCCACCCCAAACACACTGTCCACCCCAAACACACTGTCCATCCCCCACACACTGTCCACCCTACACACACTGTCCACCCTACACACACTGTCCACCCTACACACACTGTCCACCCTACACACACTGTCCACCCTATGCACACTGTCCATACTACGCACACACTGTCCATCCTACACACGCTGTCCATCCTATAGACTGTCCACCCTATGCACACTGTCCATAATACACATGCTGTCCACACTGTGTTGATTGTCCACCCACACTGACCATCCACCCAAGCCAACTGTCCACCCTATGCCACTGTCCACCCTATACTGACTGTCCACCCACGCTGACTGTCCACTGCCCCTCCCCGTGCCAGCCCCGGGCTCGCTCTGCTCCAGGAAACACTGCCATGTCTGGGAGGCACCTGTGTGCCAGGTGCACACTGGCCCTCAGCACCACCATTACCTGCAGTCTCTCAATGATGTTCCGGTAATCCCTGGAGGCAGCCAGGACCGAGTCCCTGCGCGCGGCGTTGCGGGCAGACAGTCGCCAGTTCAGGGCCGTCTTTTGCACGATGTTGTGGGACTTCAGGAAGAGGTTGTTGACCTGGCTGTCCAGGTCCACAGGGATGGCGATGGCCCGGCTCTTGGCTGCACAAGGAAGGGGAGGAAGAAGCTGGCTGCCTCTGTGGGTCCTTGGGGACGGGGTCCACGTGTGACATGTGTGAGGTGAGGGCTACAGAGGAAGGGGAGGGAGGGACAGGCTGCCAGTGGGAATCCTTGGAGACAGCCCCGTGTGAGATGAGCCACTACAGAGCAGACTGATTCTCGTGACCACACAAGCAGCCACACCACCAGGGCCCCCGGTGCTTTCAGGGCCCCCGGTGCTTTCAGGGCCCCCAGGGCTTTCAGGGTCTGACTAGAAAGGGGATCACCAGCCTTGCACCCTAGGCCCTTCTATTCCTCAGCTACACAGAACCAGCTGTTTTATGGATACATGTCTTCAATGACAGATGGCTAGTGTCCACAGATGACCACGCAGAGGGCTATTAGAGGGGAAAGTGGTCACATTTGGAAAAGCCAGAGTGGAGAAGGCTCAACCTCCCTAACTCCCAGCAATGCAGCCTCAGAAGACGTGGGAGGAGTGGAGGGACCGAGGGGGAGATGAGCCATGTACACGGACAGACCAGGTGTGAGCAGAATGAGAAGAGGCCGTTCACACGGACAGACCGCTGTGAGCAGAGCAGGAAGGGGCCGTGCACACGGACAGACTGGGTGTGAGCAGAATGAGAAGAGGCCGTTCACACGGACAGACTGGGTGTGAGCAGAGCAGGAAGGGGCCGTGCACACGGACAGACCGGGTGTGAGCAGAATGAGAAAAGGCCGTTCACATGGACAGACCGGGTGTGAGCAGAGCAGGAAGGGGCCGTTCACACGGACAGACCGGGTGTGAGCAGAGCAGGAAGGGGCCGTTCACACGGACAGACTGGGTGTGAGCAGAATGAGAAGAGGCCGTTCACATGGACAGACCGCTGTGAGCAGAGCAGGAAGGGGCCGTTCACACGGACAGACTGGGTGTGAGCAGAATGAGAAGAGGCCGTTCACACGGACAGACCGCGTGTGAGCAGAGCGGGAACGGGCCGTGTACACAGACAGACCGGGTGTGAGCAGAATGAGAAGAGGCCGTTCACATGGACAGACCGGGTGTGAGCAGAGCGGGAAGGGGCCGTTCACACGGACAGACCGGGTGTGTGCAGAGCAGGAAGGGGCCGTTCACACGGACAGACTGGGTGTGAGCAGAATGAGAAGAGGCCGTTCACACAGACAGACCAGGTGTGAGCAGAATGAGAAGAGGCCGTTCACACGGACAGACCAGGTGTGTGCAGAGCAGGAAGGGGCCGTTCACACGGACAGACTGGGTGTGAGCAGAGCGAGGGGTGGTTGGGGCACCGCCAGGTGCTGTGCTGCAGGGAGCCTTCCTCATCACAGTGCTTGGACTAAACACATTCGTGGATAAACAAGCGAATCCCCGAGCACGACCTTCCCAAGGGCCCCTGTCAGGGAAATGCTGGCTGAGTGGCTAATAGACGTCCCTGGGGATCCGGTCCCTTCTGGCTCTGTCTCTGCCCAGCTTCCCTTTCAGGTGACTCCCTATCCATGGGCACTGTACGTCCACCACGCTGGGCTCAAAGCCAGCACCCTCTTACCCACATCGGACAGCACCCGGATGCAGCTCTCCACAGACGCCTTCTGACTGGGCATGAGCCAGTTACAGTGGTAAACCCGGAATACGCCCTGCAGAAGCTGCACGAAGACAGGCTGGCGGGTCTGCAAGAGAGAGTCTGGGTCACCAGAGGTCAGAGAGGGCCTGGGTCACCACACGTCAGAGAGCCCGGGACACCACACATCAGAGAGCCCGGGACACCACACATCAGAGAGCCCGGGTCACCACACGTCAGAGAGCCCGGGTCACAGGCGCTCGGGACCTGTGCCCTCCATCCTGGGTGTCGGGTCTGTGAGAGCTCAGGTCACCACACATCAAGGACCTGTACCCTCCACCCTGACTCAACTCCTCGAGAGTGGAAGGGGGCTGCTGGTGAAGAGCTAGATTTCAGGGGTCACTGAGGGAGGAAGAGAAACTCAGGACCACTTCAAACCTAGTCACATGATCCATCAAGTGTTAGCACAAGGAGGAACAGTGGGGTTACAGGCTGAGGACAGGGATCCTTGTCCAGCGGCATCTAGGATTCCCAACCAGAGCTGGCTGTGAGCACTGTGACAAGGACAGAGAACTGCCCTCCCAGCTCCAGCGTCATGCAATATATAAAATCCACTCTCCAGGAGCACAGAGACAAGGAGTGGAATCTACAATTTTCTTCAGCAAAATTGGATTAAAAGTGGACCTTGGCCAAAGCACAGGTCTCAGATGGAGAAGCCAGTGCGGTGTTCACTTCTTACCATGGACGCAGATTCCGAAGGCAACCACTTGGTCAGATTTATTCCCTTCTGTGACCACAGAAACGCGTCCTCATTTCAAAGTAGGAGTGCTCGAACTCTGCCTATGAACACTGTCTGTTGATTGTCATTTGTTAAGTGTGTACCACATGCCAGATCCCTGACATGTAAACCTCAGCAATAATTCTCTGACAAAGGAGTTCCTGTCATGTCAGGCATGAAGCACAGGGCCCTGCAAGGCTGAAGAATCCGAGATGAGTCACAAGTCAGCAACAAAGCAAGCTGACCTCACAGTGCACGGCCACAACTCCCACCACGTTCACATCCCACCAAATTCGCTGAGGAACCAGGATCCCCCTGCTGCCTTCAAGAAGGACTCTCTGTCCTGGGCTCCAGGCCAGGGCAACAAACTGTGTGGCTAACTAGGACAGGCACTCAGGAGCCAGGGAGTCGGCCTAAGGCCTTGGTCAGTGAGTGACAGCCCTTGACAGCTCCGGAACGCCTGTTCCGAAGTTCAGTGATCTTCCCAAGGTCACAGAGCAGGCGTGGGCTCCACTCAGCTTTCAAGTCTCCAAACCTCTTTTTCCTCCTTCCTCTGTCCCGTGTTCCCAGCCACCTTTGGACATTCAGTCATTGGCTCTAAATGCAGCAACCAAACTCAAGCTCTCCAATCCCTCCAGAAACCTAAAAAGATAACTTTGAGTTTGTCCTCGAAAGCGTGTGGACAACGTAGGCTTTATGTGTCCTTGCACCTTACAACCAAGACCCCGTTATCTGGCACTGCTTGCTTGCTAGCTGGGTCACACAGGCTCAGGACAAGGGACGAGACGAAGGGGAGATGCACATCAAGATGGAACACCTCACATCAAGATAGACGGAACACCTTTCATCAAGACAGACCACCAAACCACAAGGGCCTTCTCAGTGGGCCCTGTTAACCTGACACACTGACAGCCTGGCTCTGAGGTACGGTCTGACCGTCTCGAGGACAATGGGCACCGCCATGGTGACCATCACTTTCATTACAAGCAGTAGATCCCACAGCCAACCCAGCACAGCCCTCCCGACGGCTCTGGTGAAGGCGGTAATGGTAACAATGGTCATGGTAACAGCATGGTCATGGTCATGGTCATGGAAATGGTCAAGCACACGTCCTGGCCACTCACTCCAGCTTAGGCACTAACACTCCGGGTTTGGGACTGACTCCAGCGGCAGCATCGTAGGGGTACGCCACGCTAGTGGAACTGCCCCCCTAGAAACTGATTCTCAGTCCCAAGGAAAACACCGTGTGCTGTTGTGCGCCTGGCCAAGTGTCTCCCCAGTCAGGCTTCAGAGGCAGACAGAACAGGGTCCACATCACAGCCATGGCTCTGCTGGCCGCGGGACAGTGAATCTCCCTGAGCCTTAGTTTGTCCAGCTGCAAAATGGGGATCACATGCTGAGTTCAAAGGCCACTCCAGGCCTCGGGACACCTGTGTATTCCTGGAGCACAGCGGGACCAGACACCAGGCAGCGTGAGTATCAGGTTGACGGACACTTGTGCTCTTGCAGAACCTGCAGTAACTCTGTGTTCCTCTGAAAGCAGCTCCTCAGGCCTCCTGCCGGCCCGGGCTGTCTCCTTCCTGACAGGGATGGTCAGTGCACCTCTTCTAACCCCAGGAGGCCAACTCCAGCGTCCCTGCAGCAGTGCACACGTCCTGCAGGACACTGCCACACTGACGGACAGCAGCACACACCACCAGAGCAGAGGGCTTTCCCGGGCGGATGAAAGTAACAGAACCGCCTTCTGGAGCCACGGCCCAAAGTTCCCAAGTAATGAGGCTAAAGAACACGACCGGCAAAGGCTAGTCCGGTGACGGGCTCCAGAACCAGGGCTGGGTTCCACATGAACACGGCATCGGGAGCTATACAGTGCAGTGACCCACGTCACAGCAAACGCCTCACAACTGCAGTTCTGATGAACTCTCGGCCACAAGAGAGACCTGCCAAAGCTAACAAGTCACACCTGCGAGAGGGCATGGCCTCTCCACGAGCCCTGGTGCTAAAGCGCTGGGCGCTGACCAGGACGTCAGCAGATCTAACCCACCAGCCGTCCTGTGGGAGCAGATGGGGCAGGTGCTCCAGTTCTGCTGTCTACAGGATGGCCGTCAGACGGAACCCCCACCCTCTGCGATCTCTCTAAGGGAACATCTGTCCTGTACGGTCTCTGTCAGTCAGAATCCCCATCCTGAAGGACAGGATCACTATCAGTCAGCATCCTCCAAGACCTCTCTAAGGGAACCCCCACCCTCCGGGATCTCTCTAAGGGAACATCTGTCCTGTAGGAGCTCTGTCAGAATCCCCATCCTACAGGGTCTCTCTAAGGGATCTCTCTGAGGGAATCCCCACCCTCCGGGAACACCATGAATCGGAATCTACTTGAAGGCACTGAATTTGGTTAGAGGGAAGAATGGGCAAGAACAAAGTGAATACTAATAATAACGTGAGTATACTGTAAGGAGAAAACAGAAGGCTCTTAGAAACATCCAGTGTAGGAACGTACTAGTGGACGTCTGTCGCCAGGCCCCCGGAGAGGCCCGAGCACAGGGAGGATCCTGTCTGGAGGCCTGGAGCCCCACCTGGTGGCGATCTCCGGCAGTCCTGCTGCACATTTCCACTTACCTGCAGAGTGGTGCTCTGGTCGGAGAAGGGCGAGCTGAAGAAGGTGGTGACAATACTCATGACGATTTCAGTCACGTATTTCTCCAAGACGGAGTCCGCATGCTTCCTGTCACTCGTGTTGTTACAGGCCTGGAAGGCATTGGATGTTTTAAAGATGACACTGAAACTTCCACATCGGGCACAAACGAGAAATTCATGACTTCCCGCTGACCACCCTTAGTGCAAGGTAAGGCATACAGGTCAGTGTGTCTGTCATGAGACAATAAAAGAAGTCAAGGAAAAAGAGAAACACATCCCATCAGACCACAGCTGAGGGGTCAGAAAGCATCAACACTGGTACTGGACCTAGAGGCCATTGCTCCTGACTCCCTACCCACATGTAGCATGTCTAATTATCCAAGGGGTGATAAGAAGCAAGGGAAATACACAAGTTTTAACTGTACCCTAAAAGTAAGGCTCTCTGCTGGTTGAGCCGTTCATCTGCTCTAGGCCGCATTCACCCGCCCTAGGCAGAGGGCTGCCCATCAGTGTAATCACGGGAACCAATCACCTCAGTCAGGCTCCACAATCTCACAATACTATTCCATTCAATTAAAGACTTTACTAACATGTGATTAGGAAAAACAACAGACCTGGGGATTCCGAATGACTTACAAGTTTTGAGGTCAGTGGAACACTGAGATTGCAGCTGTATTCTAGTCAATACTGCTTGCTTACAGGAAGATTACAATTGGACATACACCCTGTATCTTCCCCGCACCCCGCCCCCGGCTATTCCACTACTAGGAATATACTCCAAAGAAATTAGAACTGAGACACAAATGGAGATTTGTACACCAATGTTCATAGCAGCATTATTCACCATCCCAAAAACATGGAAACAGCCCAGATGTCTAACCACAAATGAATGGATTGAGTAAGTATGGTACATTCACACAATGGAATACTATGTAGCACTCAGGAGCAACAATTTTGAAAAATACTACCTAATTTGGGAGAGACTGGATAGCATTATGCTGAGTGAACTAAGTCTCACAAAGACCTTTTCTCGTTTAACATGACACTGTTTCTGAGTAAGGTGTCCCTCATAATTATTCTCTGAAGAACCTGTGGCCTGCCTCCTTCCCAGCTTGACCACCGGGTGCCTTCAGAGTGAACACCAAGTTCAAGTGTAAAACCAATTTAGGGCCATGAAGACTCAACCAGACCAGGGAATGCTAACGACAAGGAGTGAAGCATATCATAGTGCCCAGCGTGAAGACTGTAGGATGTGAACACTCAAGTCCCAGAGAGGGCCCTTCAGAGACAGGACAGGTCATTAGGGAAAATAAAATCATCCTGCTCTGATGTCAGGATGTCCCAGGTCATCACTCACAAATCAACCTCATCTCAGGGGTGAAGGGAAAACCAGAGATAACCAGTCTTCCCTCTCTACAAGCAAAGAGTAGACAGAGATGAGAAGGTGACAGCAACCAGAGTGAAGGTTCCACAGTCATTTTAGCCCACAGCTGTGCCCTCAGATCCAGAGAGCCTCACCCTGCAGGTGTCCAGGGTATATGTGTGAGTGTACACACACACACACACGCACGCACGCACACACACACACACACACTCTCCTCTCTCTCACTCTCTCGTGCTCACCCACACACACAAACCCACGCACACTCTGCCTCCTCATTCCTCACCTTGCAGATGTCCAGGGCATCCATGCGTGCACACCTGCACCCCCACACCCCCACACGCTGCCTCACCCTGTATATGTCCAGGGTACCTGTCTGTGCACACCCGCACACCCACATCCACACGCACACATGCTGCCTCACCCGGCAGATGTTGAGTGTCTGCACGCACACCCGCACACCCACTCTACCTCCTCACCCTGCAGATGTCCACAGAGTCTGTATGTGCTCACACACTCACACACCCACCCCCGCACACGGCCCCCTCACTCCTCACCCCTGCAGATGTCCACAGAGTCTGTATGTGCTCACACACTCACACACCCACCCCCACACACGGCCTCCTCACCCTGCAGATGTCCACAAGGAAATTCTCGAAGAGCTTCCACATGTGGTTGCTGGTGTAGATCTCCTTCATCTCCACCTCAGTGTCCACGTAGCAGTGGTTCAGGAAGTTAATGTAGGCGATCTTAACCTGGAACAGAGAAGCCGCGCTCACAGAGGGGACTGTGGATGTGGTCCTCGTGCCCACAGCGAGAAGGGCGATCAGAAGGTGAGTCTACTTTGTCCTGCCACCTTCATTCCCATGACTTTGTGATGGTCCCAGTAAGCAATGACAGAGTACAAAAACACAAAGTTCATAAAGATAATCCTTTTATGCCCCGAAAGTAGAGAACAGGAGAAAACCAAAACCAATCAATGGGGAAAATCCCCACTGAGACCCCTCAGAGAGGAAATGATGCCACAGTTAGCAACACGAAAGATTCATGTTCGTGAAAACATTATTAAAAAAGTTAAACAACATTAATCAAAAGAAGGTATTTGCTGTGCCTCTACCCCCCCCAAAATGCAGGAGAATGGAGAAACTGTCTGCCCCCAGAAAGACCTCGACTCAGGGAGACAAGGGGGCAATTCTGAGTCAGAACTACTGACCCAACAGGGTAGTTACTCTTTACAGTTACATACTAAATGTTTCAAGTACACACAACTATTTTAAAATATATAAGAATAAAATGCTATAAGACCCATATTTTTCTATTAAACAATATGCGTAAGTCAGAGAAAAAGAAGCCCAAAGAAATTTACTTTCAAAGTGTAACAATTAATGACTGTCCAGTCAGGTCCGGCCCATAGTGACCAGTCCTTCATGTGGTCAGGTCAATCTTAACAGAAGAACACTGCAGCTGGTGGATCTGAACCACCAACCTTTCCATTACCAGCCTGACACACCACGGGGCTGCTTACTCATCATGGGAAGGCATGAAATTCAGTTGCATGTGATACATGAGTAAACTTTGAAAATATCACACTCCATCAAAGAAGACAGAAACAAAAGACAAGCATGGCATCGCTCTCTCTCTTACACTCTTACACACACACACACACACAGGCAGAGAAAGACAGAGAGACAGAGAACACACACGAGCCCTTAGATGAAATGTCAAAACCAGACTAATGGAAAAAGCCTATTACTGATGAACGGAGGGTCAGGAGAGGAGAGAGCAAGGCGCTAACTGCTTGAGAGGCAGCGGGCTTGTTTGGGGCGAGGTCAAACCAGGAATGGACAGCCGGGACAGAACCACAAGATGGCGAGTGGACTTAACATGACTGAGTTTTAATTTAATAGTCAAAATGGCAAGCTTTTTGTTATATTTCAACACAATAAAATATTTTTAAAGTAGACCTAGAGAACTGAACAGGCACTTTCTCTAGATGGTAGAATGTAACTGATCTTGATTTCTTACTGACATCTGCAGATGTGACATTCCCACAGTAATTATGGCTCACCTTAAAGAGCTTCCTGCCAAAGACGAAGCTCACAGAGGGAATTCCTCCAGTCACAGGAGCTACACCTCCACCCACTCTCTCATTTCTGAGAACTGCAACATTGCCAGCTCATCTTACAGGGGAAGAAAGAAAAGACCGACGTGCCCCACATCCCCTTCAAGCAGACTGACACTCAAGGCACCTGCCTCGGCGCGGGAAACCTGGCTGCACCGCAGACGTGTGCTCCAGCGTGCGCTCGGCTCACCTCGGGGACGCAGTCCTCGTGGGTCACCACGCGCACGATGTCATCCAGTGGCAGCAGCGAGTTGCACTTGATCTCCGTGTACACGTTCTTGCCCTCAGTGCACACGGCCAGCAGCTCCACCAGGTGGATGTGGTACATGAGGGGGCTGTTCTCATCCATGCGGTCCCGTTCTGACCGCATCATCTGGATGAGGGTCTGGAAGGAGGCCCGGTCGTTGTAAAACACGAGGACGTCCTCTCCCGAGTTGACCAGCTGTGGGAAAGGGCAGCTCTTGTCAGGTCCCACGCCCGCGGGGTGGGGGCGAGAGCTCTGCCTCCCCCTCTCAGAGCTCGTTCACAGACTCTGGCCCTGCTCTCGGGAGGGGCTGCTTCCTGCAGAAGGACAGCGTGCTGGGAAAGGAGAGGGTTGGAGGAAGCCGGACTGGCACCGTGAGAGTAACAGTGCGCTTGAACATCTGAGATTGCGAGGACAGGACGGGACGGGAGAGGGCCAGGTCCAGACGTTCACAGTCGCTGTGGGCTGTGGTCACCACCTAACAACACTTAATCCCAACCCAGCCGTCAGCTGAATGGCCTCCTGCTGCCTAGCTCTCAGTTTTAGGGGCACTGATAACCAGGCCTCTCTTCTGTGGGTCCACTGGGTAGATATGAACCACTGACATTCAGGTTAGTGGTCAGCGGTTAGCCATTTACAGCATTTTAACAAGCCCCGTCTTCTTTCCAGGCTTACGAAGAACCCCTGTCCAACTCTCTCACACTGCCTCAGGTCTCTGCTCACAAGCCATCCCCTTAAAAGCAAGCCCAGTTCTCAGAGTAAGGCAGCAGCCTTTCTGAGCAGAGGATGCCTCACGGCTGGGCGTTCCTATGAATCCGTTTAGGAAGAAATGAACTGTGTGAGATCCAGATGGTCTGACATACACTGGCCAGCAGTCACTGGAGTGAGGCCACAGAGCAATACAGGCAGCGGTATAGTTACTATCCACCAACCTTCACGAGCTGTAACGACAAAGACTCTAGAAGATTCTCTAACCTGGCCTTTCCTCATCTTTCCAAACAGGGTCAAGGACAATCAATCCCTACTGCACAGACCTGCCAGAGCCCCAAAGGCACAGCACTGGGTGGGCCCGGGGCCTTGGGGAGCCTGTGTGACGGCGGAACTGCCCAGCAGGGTCAGCCAGGCTGAGAGCTCTGCAAGAAGCAGGCGGCCTCGCCTTCTCCTGCGGAGCAGCTGGTGGACTCAAACCACTGATCTTCTGGTTAGCCGTCCACTGCTGAGCTACCAAAGTTCCTTACAGAGTTGGCAGGGAAATGACATTGTTATGTAAAAGTGCCTGGGGCAGACCCTTGAGTATGGGGCCTTGTCGAGCGCGGCCCACAAGTGGCCCTCCGCACAGCGGGCCCTGTGCCTGACCCTGTGTCATCCTCAGGGAAGGTGAGCGAGCACTGCTACCTGGCTCTCATTCCCCGCTTTCTACTGACAGCTAATACGCTGTGTCGCTGAGTGCAAGTGAGGTCAGGGAACAGTGCCGGCCCGGGACCCTAGGCAGTTACAGGGCTGCTAAGACGGGTTTCTGTTCCACGGAGAGCTCCTGGCTGGTGCAAATGGTTAACAAGTTTGGCTACTAATCAAAAGGTGGGAAGTTCAAGTCCACCCAGAAGCATCATGAATAAAAGGCCTGGTGATGCCTTAAAACATGAAGCTGCCATCGAGAAAGCAATGGGGCCAGTTGACTATGACACACATGGGTCATCAGGAGGACGGTGACCTGACAGCAATGGTTCCCTTTAAAATCAAATCTTTTCTTAGAACCATGTGCACAGGAAGGTCTGTCATACCAGCGTGGATTGGATTCACTCGAGTCTTCTCTTCATTAGACACTGGGCGAATCGGATAGAGCGCACACAGAAAGCCACGCACTGAGGCAGCGTGGGCTCCCTGGTCAGAGACACGGCAGGTCAGAGACACGGCAGGTCAGAGACTCGGCAGGTCAGAGACACGGCAGGTCAGACACACGGCAGGTCAGACACACGGCAGATCAGAGACTCGGCAGGTCAGAGACACGGCAGGTCAGAGACAAGCCAGTGGGCTCAACTCTCCCTGAGGGACCAGCAGCCTTTCCCAAAACTCTCATTTCTCCTCTCAGCTGGGCAATGTTCTTCCTCCCTGTTGAACCTGGGGCACAGCTGAGGGAAGGCCCTGTAACCCGGGAGGGAGTGACCAGCTCCCTGGCCTCACTCTCATCCTGCTGGTTTGCTGTTCTTGTTTTCTTCTCCCTCTCAGAATAATTCAACCCTATTTCCTTCACATAAATCAGCAGATAACGACAAACAAGCCCTTCAGACTCCTGCCTAGATCCAAGGTCACGAGACTCATTCACACGTGACGGATTCCTGCCTCTGCATGTGGTTCGTGGGGAGAATTCCCCCCATGCCGTTAGGATGAGCTAACCTGCACCCAAGTTGTAACAGGAAGGGAGAGAAGAGCATAGAGCTGTCACCTCGGCCATCACCATGTCCTGGCACTTCTTAATGAACTTCCCCTCTGCTTTGACAATCGTCTGCAAGAACTTGATGTACTGGACGTTCCGGCCGTGCGTCTCAATGCAGTGGACAAAGTGCTGGACGACCCTCTCATTGATCTCGCTGCACAGCTGGAAATTGTTCATGAAGATGTGCTGCATCGTGACGGCCTCCAGGATCTGTCCAGGGACAAGAGCAGAGGCGGGTCAGAGCACTGGACACAGACGGGAGAGGCAGTGAGAGACTCACCCAAGGCCCGTCAGAAGCCAGGCCTCCCTGCGGCACAACCACCCGGAGAGACTCCAACCACCGAAACAGTACTGCCTGAACGTGGACACAATGTATCCGCTCCATCGCACCTGTGTCATTCATTCACGTGGACACAGTGTATCC